AACCCGATGATGTTTGTTTATTGAAGAAGGGTGTATTATTATTAATTTGTTATGGACATGCCTAAGAGCTGGACTTTTTGCACGCGTTCCCCGCCAGGGGGCGCCACTGAGGAAGCACCCTCTGACGTCACGATAAAACTGCGCGCACTGTGCGCACGGTTTTGTAAGCAAGTAATATAGTGGTGGTTTCATGGTGGAAATTGGAATAAGTATTTTGACGTTGTAAAATTTCAAGCCGTTTTTGTGAAATTAATTAGTAAATGCATTTAAAAAGTATTTATTTAAAGTGTGAAAGGAGAATAATTAGAAGAACATGAATATTTTTGTTCCAATAGCTTATTATGTGAGACATGATCGGTACTAACGGGTACTTCTAAGAAGTAGTGAAGAAGTACCAAACAGCCTGCTCGGCTACGATCGTCAGCTGTCCTTTGGAGCTGGACTTCAACGCTGTAAAAAAAAATATGTGCTGAATTAATTTTAAGTTTCACCAAAATATAAGCAATTTATCATTTCTTTTTCACTTTTGTAATCATTGTTGAGTGAAGAGACATGTTGCTAGTTCTGACAATATAAATTATAAAACGAAAGGGACCGTGTATATCACACCACGGTGAGATTTACACAATACCGGCCATTTGTGTAAATCACACCCACCCCGGTGTGATATACACAAAATCTACTACGTAGTGTAAATCACACCCGGGTGAGGAATACACAGAGAGGGCAGCTGTGTGTATATCTCACCACGATGTGACGTCATAGCAATGCTGAACGTCCATTGGTCAGAGCAGTGACTCTGCTCGCCCATTGGTCAGATCAGACTAAGCACTACGAATATTCCGGCGGGATTCCGGGCGTCCTCTCTCTCGGAGTCAGCTGACCGCCTGGCCTAGTGGTGAAGGTGCTTGCACAATGATACGAATGTCGCGGGTTCGAGTCCCGTCGGTGCGGGCGCTTTTTCCCGCATTTTCGCTTTTCCTTGGTAGCGGTGGGTTCGCTGCCGACCGACAAGTTTAAAAGCACCAATACAATATGGAAAGCGACGTCTGAATGCTCGTGGCGAAGCGGTGCAGTGCCGAAGGCAATGCCTTAGGAGAGATTACAGGCAATGGTAAGTCAAATATTTTTAGGTTAAGTGGCTGTGTATCTGGCTTCAGGCCGAAGGCCTGAAGCCTGATGCACAACCACTTAACCTAAAAAATATTTGACTTACCATTGCTTGCAATCTCTTCATGCGAGTACCTTCTTCCTCATCCACGGGTAGGCAAAAATCAGTAGGTCAGGTTAGGTTAGGTTAGGTTAGGTTAGGTTAGGTTAGGTTAGGTTAGGTCAGGTCAGGTCTAAGGTTTGGTTAAGTGTCTTGTTACCGTGCCTACTGTGTAAATCTCACCCAGGTGCTGCGTGGTTTGACACCCGGGTGTGATTTACACACTAGGAGCACATTGTGTATATCACACCCCGGTGTGATTTACGCATTGCCGGCCCACTGTGTAAATCACACTCCGCGTGGTGTGATATACACAGGAGTAGTGTATTGTGTAAATCACACCCGGGTGAGGTTTACACTACAGTGCGATGCATTATGTAAATCTCACCGTGGTGTGATATACACGCGTCCAAAACGAAATGCGACGGTAAGTATCTGCCACTAAATTATCACTAAAACCAAATACATGGAGAATCTTGCTACCATTGCTTATAAAACGTGCTTATCAATACACAAATGTTTTATTTCAGACAAGAAGGATTTATTTGCCTGACGTTTTGCGTCATGTGCTACTGCTTTGATTCCAAAGACGCTCTCCGGGTCGGGGTAATTTAGTTCTTCATCGATCGATAAGAGATTTTGATTCCATTGATATCCAAATTGATAAGCTCGGCACCATGGAGTAAGGGCGTCCCCACAGGGGTGACGCAGGAAATATGAATGGCGTTTACACCACAGTAGTTTCCCACAGCCGGCAATGGGAATCTCCTGTCGGTGTAAACGCCACTTTAGTCCCATCCAACTCAAACACTGGGGAATATCCCCGCACTTTTGAGGACGGAAATCTATGGACCTGTTCGAAAAATAGTGGATAAACTACGACGAGCTTTCAGTTTTATGGTTGGGTCTCCCTTCCGAGGCACATATTTACGGGGGATATTGGGTCATATTCCCCCGGCGTCCTGATGATCGGCGCCCAGCTCAACGTCGAAGGCGCCCTGATACGCGGCACTGCTATCTGTGAAGGTGCCCAGGTTGCTGCCGCTCGAATTTTGGTCGCCTACTTAAAAAAAAACTCCGTTGGTGCCATCTCAGTTTCCTCGAGGTCAGGCAACCTTCACACGCCGTTGGCTACCTTGGCTGGCCGGCGACTCGTTCCCCTCGTGGCGACGCTCTTGACATCCAGTCAAAAGTTGGAGTGGCTGGCGCCCCCAATTGGGGCCGGGGAAGGGGCAGTGGGCCTCCACGTTGCTCTCTTCCCGAGCCTATGGTGACTTGGCTCAACTCTCCTCAATAGAATCTGGATTCTGCACGCTGTTGTTGTTGTTTATTGGGGCTTTAGGGCGCGTCGAATTCTGCACGCTGTATTAACATGGGCGTAGACACCACTACGGACAATACGGACAGTGGGTGTGACAATCAGTAGTGCCATTCATATAGAGGGTGTCATATATGAGCGGAGAGGCAACAGTACAGCTGAGCGGAGATACAACATTAAAACAACAGTACAGCTGGCGTTGCATGGAGCTGCAGGCAACCGGACAGCGGAGGCTTGCGAAAAATAAACAGTTCGTCACTTCAACGTATAAACAATAGTAAAAGCAACATAAACACATATTCTCATGGTCGAACCCATGCAATAGCGGCTCACGGCGGGCACAGGCACGCAATGCGGTAGCGGTACCGGATCACACGTCATGGGCGTTGTCTCAGCATAGGTTGTTATGAGCGGAGAGGCAACAGTACAGCTGAGCGGAGAGACAACATTAAAACAACAGTACAGCTGGCGTTGCATGGAGCTGCAGGCAACCGGACAGCGGAGGCTTGCGAAAAATAAACGATTCGTCACTTCAACGTATAAACAATAGTAAAAGCAACATAAACACATATTCTCATGGTCGAACCCACGCACTAGCGGCTCACGGCGGGCACAGGCACGCAGTGCGGTAGCGGTACCGGATCACACGTCATGGGCGTTGTCTCAGCATAGGTTGTTCGCAATCTAGTTGAAGCCTAAGAAGACGGCCAGTGGGGTCTCACTGCTGCTGAGGCGACCTCGGAGACGATGCGTCGCCCCTCCTGTCGGCGACCTGCGGTGAGCAGGACTCCAGCTAGCTGTCTGGCACGTTGCCGACACTGCCAGACGCTGTCAGCAGGCCTCACTGCTGCAAGTGATGTGCAGATGGACGCCAGGTGACTTCGTCTGCAGGCGATTCCGGAGACCGCGGCCTCACCAGGCAGTACCACCTGCATCGCCATGTCGGTGTTTCTAGAAATGGAAAAATAACAGTATCGGTGAAGGACAAGCAATAGGTACAATGTATTCTGTTTTCCTCTCTTGCAGGTATACGTAATCTACAATTATCATTGTTCCTATTTCATTCAACTGAACCTGAAAATTCCATATTGGCACATTGTTTGACTAAATTTGTGTAGTTGGGAACAGGGGCGACGCCACGGTGCGACGACTGGAGGGGACATTGACCATTTTGGAGGGGACGAGGACCATTTCAAGTCGATTCTTTCCATGCAACGCCATAGGCGTAATGTTAAAATTTTAAAAAGTGGAGGGGACGAGATCCCCTCCGTCCCCCCCCCCCCCCTGTGGCGACGCCCTTGGTTGGGAAACAGATTGTTTGAAATACATGTTTGGCTGAACAGTGCGGAAAATATTTCATTGATCACTTTAGCTGCAACAAAAATACTGAGACAGAAAACATTTGCGCTTACCTGGCTCCTTAGTCAGTCCCGCACAACGGAAGTGGTACCATTTATCGCAGCCGTCACATCCGACCATCGGTGCTGCACTAATGCTGCTGCACTCCCCACATTCCCAGTACCTTAGGAGCGTCTTGGCTGTGAAAAGATTACATGAGTCATGGCGCATACATGAATAGTAAGATGTTTTATATGTTTAACATCGCATAGCAAAGACACAACAGCTGGGAGTCAAATGTAAGCCAAAAAAGTAAGCCCTGCCATGTTTTGCAGACTGGCTTTTAAGCAAGAAAAGCTTTGCTAAAAATGACGCTTGACAAAGCCTCATCCTACTGGGCTGTCTGACGTGTCTCCCTGTAAAAAGCATGTGGCCCTTATATTGTATATATGATGAATATGTTAATAATGCAGAGAAAACACAGCATAAATTATACCCAACGTTTCATCTTAATCGACTTTGTCAAGGGTGTTTGAACAGCTTGAGATGAGTGAAGTGTAAGGGTACCTAGGTACATCTGAAAATAAACTGAATCTGCGTTCAATAAACATTGATTTTGATAATACATTTCACAAATCAACTGCTAATAACAATCATACTAAAATAGCACGACAGATAACTAACAATCGCATGAAGAACTTCTTGATTCGCCTTGACATTGTCGTCCGAACGAATGTTGTGAAGTTACACATTTGTCTTTTCTGCGCAGCATTTGTGTTTGCCATTTACCGCACCAATGTTCGCCAGCGGTGGTGACTTTTCCTTACCTGCTCACGAAACGTCACACACGACATGACGTCACCCGAAGACGTCATCAAAAAGTCCAGCTCTTAGGCGTGTCCTTTGTTATTGTTCCTCTCCATCTTTCCCGTCATTTCAATATTCAGGTAACTATCCAAAGCAGAATACGCTGATAAAAAGGTATGTTTGATGGTCAAGCAAGGGGACTGTGTATCATAATCCATAGGTACAATGCAATTGTGTTAGTTTCTTGTAATTTGAATCTATTGAAAGTTTGTTTTCTGTTGAGATAGTTGTTATTTCCTTGTGCACCCCACTTCCATTCACTAAATAAATTAATCCACCCAACAAAATTACCAGTCCAGTTCATAGCAAGTTCAAAATAAGCTGCGATCAGACTCATTAATTTATTTCAAATTGAATAGGTAGTGCTCAATAATCCATAATAATCCATCTGAAAGGTGTGGGTTCCTTCATGCTTGCTACTCGCTACCTGCTCTTCACAGGCACATGGCATTGAAAGGTGCTGGTGTTATTTTGGTGCCTTCAAATTACATTGATGTGGTATACGCACCAGAAGCTGGAGATTAATTTTAATGGTTACCTATGCATTTCTCTGTTTCAGGAACAGGATGGATCTTCTGGGATCTATAATGAGTAAAATGGAGAAGCCTCCAACAACAACTACACAGGCACAGCGAGATGCAAAAAAGAAGCACCTGGAAGAGGCAAAGAAAATGAAGGAAAGAGAAAAGGACATGCTTTTGAAGTTTAGGCAGCAGGTATGTACTTAATTAAGATGCTTTCCACTTTGTTGAACTGGTGGTTTTACAGCAACGGCTGTTTAGTCACTGTATAGGTGGTGAGGACTGTGCAGGGTGCAGGCTCATATTCTCTTGCCAAGGACTGAACTGTCCATCAATATAGCTGTTTGAATTTCCAGCTATGTATTTTTCATTTTCAAGTTTGATGAGTGTCCTTTCCAGGCTGAAGAAGAGATACAGAAGTTTATGAAAGATAATGCTCTTCAAAAGAAACCACTGGCACCTATGAATGAAGTACAAAGAAGCATTGTGTAAGTGAAGCTACAGTTTATTGTTTGAAAGAAATGGTTATTTACTATGCACTTGTTATGTGGGTGGAACCTATGTGGACATCCAGCTTCAGATAAACATAACTTGTTATTCTCAAGCATTTCTGTATGGAATGGCTAAAACAGCACATTTTTTGAGTGTATTCTTGTCCTTGTAGGTATATGTACATATGCTTATTCTCATGTGTGTCTTCACCTGTGCCAAGATGCACAGATACACATTAACTTGTTGCCTTTAAAAAAGGGTTTGATGATTCTGAAGTTCGTGGGCTGTGCATGCCTACATCTTCTTCTCATCATTTTAGGTGGTTAATATTCATATTTAAGTAGGTGTTTTGGCCTTTATTTAGCCAACATCAAGCATGCATCCAATCTGGCACGCAAAGAAAAAGCATAGGTGCATATTTCAAATAAAAATTGTTTGGCTTGGCTGTTCACCATGCTTTCTTGTCGCGGCAGAGTTGCCCCTGTCCCATGCTTTTTTGTAACCTAAGTCAATTTACGTGTATGCACCTGTGCCGCAGTCATGACGTGGCTGAGGTGGCCGGAATCGTATGCCACGCCTTCGGAGAGGAGGGTGTCGACCGGCACATCATGCTGTTCAAGAAGGAGTACGAGCTGACGCAGGAAGAGCTAGCGGCGCTGCGCAGGGGCGAGGAATACGACCCCCTGCGTGCCAAGGAGCAGGCTTTCCAGGTCAGTGGAGCTGCTCGACTCCGGGCCCGACGCCCAGCGGTCTGTGATCACCCGTGCGTCCTTCAAAGGATGTAAAGAAAGAAAGGCGTGGAACAGAAACTAATCGTATTTGGTGCTTTGTATGTTGAATTTTTCCTAAAAAGTTGCCCCTTATGCCCATTTTGATGGCTAGGTATGGTTTATGGTATCGTTATTTATTTTATCACGATCAGGCTACGCAGCTCCCATCTTCCTCGTATGAGCACAGATTCATTCTACTTACTTTTCGATTTTGACATTTTACCTTATTCTCTGCGATGCCTTTTCTCTTGGCAGCGAGACCTGGCGGAGCGTCTAGCCGAGCAGGAGCAGCGTCAAAAGCGGCCGAAGAAGGGCTCCGAGCCGCCGGCCGCCTTCCTACAGAAGCGGCAGCACCTCTTCGCGGACGACGCGGCTAAGCGTGCCGATGTCAACTCCTCGTTTGGCGTCGGTAAGCCGCGTGCCGCCGGAGAATCATATCGCTCATAAAACGCGCCGTATTTATTGCACAGGACATAATAGGTACAATCGGTTACGAATCAAACGACTTCATGTCATTAAAGGTGTGGTATCTAGATATCTATATGCTTTATTATCCTGCTTCCCGTGTAGTTTTTGCTTTGTGCTGCGCAACTTACCTTCTGCTGAAACGCTGACCCCTTGTCTGACATTTCTTGACAGTGGCCAGCCACCTAAAGACGGACAAACGCTCTATCGAGGAGACCCTAGCCGATATCCGGGCCAAGAAACGGCGTCAGAAGGATGACGACGACGCCTGCGCCAGTGGCAGCTAGTATCCCGCCCGCCGGAGCTGTTTGTGAACCATCCACCGGTCCCGCTGCCGAGTGACGTCATCACCGGCGACTGGGTGACGTCATCACCGGCAGCTGGGTGTGTGTTACGGTGCTGGACGTTTGGTGTGTCCTGTCACCGAGCGGCCGGGCGCCTCAGATATATGGTGCTAGACAGCGGTGTTGAGGTGTCGGCTCGTGCCGAAGTGCGGGTTTTTGAAGGTACGCGCTGCGAGGCGACTCGCACTTGGTGTTTTGAGGACGAGGGAAGTGTGTGCCGCAATATCTCTCAGGCCCTCGCCGGTATTTGGTGGCCGGAGAGCAACCACGATTTCATCTGTGAATACGCGACATTGGCCGATTGCATGGGTATTGTTGGTCATCGAACATCGTAATAAATGCTCACCAATGATTCTTCTATTGACTGATTAGTGGTTGGCATAGGTGGGCATCGTTCCCCAAAATTGTAACTTCGTTACTCGTTCCTCCGTTCCTCAAAACGTGACTTCCGTTACTCGTTCCTCCGTTCCTCTGCATATAATGTAACGGAAGTTCTTTTAGTCCGTTACTCCGTTACAGCAAAATAAAAAACGTTAAAATGTTGGTATTTCACACATTTTTGAGACCATTCTAACACAAACTAAACCTACCGAGAAAGTGGAATGCCCACCAAATCTACCAAGACAGTGGGCACTGATTGGACACTAAACCTTGAAACGTCTGGTGGTACTGATGCGCATCACTTGTCCCCGGCCAGATGCCGGTTGCCCTTCACGAACACTAGACGTTCCAGGTTGGCATCTGAGAGCATAGGCGGCGGAACGGGGGGGGGGGGGGCACCGGCGCACCGTGTCCCCTTTGATTTTGGCATTTTAACATTAGCCCTATGTGCGTTGCATGGAAAGAATGGGACAAAAAGTCGGCAGTGCCCCCCCCCCTCCCTTAATTGAAGATGTTCCGCTGCCACTTTCTGAGAGGGGTAGCCCTTTTTGCACGTAGCACATCTTTTCCCTTTGAGAACATGCGCTCTACTGAGGCGCTTGAAGGGACGCCCGTGTTGAACTTTGCGAACACATACTGCAACGCCGGCTCATTGCGGAAGGCCAGTACACTGTACACTGAGGCCATCTTCCGTCTTCAAGTCAGGGCTGCTCAATAATCCACTATTCCGCTTCTGCATTAATGTCTGTGGGTTAGCTGAAAGATCAACCCGCTCGGGCAACGAAAAGTAACGGAGGAACGAAGGAACGGACTAAACTGTTAACTTGTAACGGAGGAACGAACAACCAATGTAACGGAAGTTACTTGGTCCGTTACCCTTTTTAAAATGTAACGAGTCCGTTCCTCCGTTCCTAAAAATTGTAACGGCGTTCCGGAACGGAGGAACGGAGGAACGGATCGTGCCCACCTGGTTGGAAATACAGCAATACAACTGGATGGAGACCACCAGAACAGCTGGAAACACTGGGTAGCAGCGGTAGATACAGCTGGATGCCGGGGGTATGGAGATTTGGGGCTTGGGCGACCGCCCAGACTGTCATGGCAGGTGTAGTGTAAGTCTCGCCGGGTATTACAGTCATTCATAAGCCATTCTGGGATGCAGGTGAAAATTCATGCGTATTCTGCTGTTGCAAGTGAGGATGAATCGATAACCTCAGGCCAAAACATATCATGCAATGTTTGGGAAACACAAAAAGTTTGGGAAACACAAAAAGAGAGTCATTTCTCATTTTGTCTGAAAGGAAATTTAAATGTAATACGCTTCAGTGATAATTTAGCTGCTGTGAGCCTATTCATCTAAGAAGGGAAAATGGTGCCTGTGTGACAAATCTGGAGCAAAATCGCGCGCAACTTTTCCATAGGGGTGTTCACGGGCACCGCACACTGCTGCGTGCGCTGTGTGCGGTACGTCCAGCAGGCGTGGGGGTAGGGGATGGGTAGGCGGCTCTGACGTCACGGCTGCGTGCGGTGGACGGTCCGCTGTGGCCAGTCCCGACCGGCCACAGCGGTCGCTGTGTGCGGTGACGCAAGGCTGACGTAGGGACGCAGTGGGCGGAGCTTGGAGGCTGTGTGCGGTCCGACCGCACACAGGGTCCGTGAACAGCCCTCATGACTTTTCCAAACTACTCACTCGCGCAAATACATGTCACTAATCTGGATTTGTTTATATATTTCGAGGTTTGCGATCACGTGCCAGGTCTTTTCATATTCTTATTTTTATACTTTTTGTTCGTAGTACCAAGCATTCCAATTGACATCCTACGTCAGTTTGCGTTTTGATAAAACGATATCAAGATCGAGACTGATGGATCATGGAGGTTCCAGAAACATTTGAGTTTCCTTTTCCTCCATACAAGGCTCAGGAGGATTTCATGAAGAATCTTTACAAGGCTCTTGAAGAAAAGAAATTAGGTATTTTTGAAAGCCCAACAGGCACTGTAAGTGATGTGCTCTTCAGGCTCCTTGCTTTTGTCGTATTTTCAAATATTTTTTTTCAGTTTATTTTGATTGTGTTTCATGTAACAAGGCCGTGGTTGTCTTGAAGTCATGGTCATAAAAGGTTTTTCCTGGTATACTGCTTAAGTGTTCAAGTCAGACAATAACTTCAATCTACACAATTATGAGCCATTGTCTGGCTCAACGTCAGTATTTTTACGAGTTTTGATGAAACATGATTGTATTTGTGGTATGTGGTACCTATAATGCATGTCCTACAATTGCTCAATTTGTTCAATGCAATTTGTTGATGCCAAAGTTATTGCAAAGATTGGTGAAAATATTACTCTGGCAAAATTGTCATGAGGACAGGCTAGCAGAAGAGCTTTGAAAGAACTGTCAATAATGTTTTTCTGAGGCTCTAGCTCTATAGGTTTCCTGGTTCATGAGCTCATTTGTTTTAAACTATCAAAATTGAAAAAAAAATTGTGTTAAGTTTACCTTTGGTGACCTCTGGTGACCTCAGCAATGACCTGCTAAAAATACTTGTATGGTCCTGAAAGACTTTATAGCAAGGTGTATGTTGCTTTCCCCACTCTTTCTAGCTTTCTTGTTTGTTTTTTTAGGTAACCTTGTATGACCAAATATGCCCGCCACCAGCTTGGCAAAGTCAGCTGAGACCTCCGCCCAAGTGCGGGATAATCACATCAGGAATCAGACTGCATCTGGCTCCATCAGTAACTCCACATAGCTGGTGTTTTACCGTGCTGGCTTATTATTCACCCCATCTCTACTTTCCCACTGCCAGGGGAAGTCTCTGGCGCTGATCTGTGGCGCCGTTCGCTGGCTGCGCGATCACGAGGCGCGGGAGCTGGCTGACGCCGAGGCGGCAGTGGCACAGCTACGCTCCTCCGGGGGCGGGGCGGCGGCGGCCGGAGCAAGCCCGGATGACTGGCTGGCGGAGCAGGCGGTGGATCGGGAGCGTCGGCAGCAGCTGCTGCGTGCCGAGCGCCAACTGGAGGCCCTGCAGCGCGCACGGGCCAGAGCTACGGTCAAACGTGGCCCCCGGCGGCCTGAGAAGGTGAGGGACTCTGTGCGTGTGGGATGAGGAGGGGGGGGGCTCTACTTGTACTTTGAAAGTCTGATGATTAGGGGTAAGTACTCTGGTGGATCTAGGGGTGGGCTCATTTTGGGTAAATGCCCCCACAGCACTCAAAATCGACAAAAACGCGTTTTTTTTCGAGAATAAGACTAAAACTGAAGCTTTTATGAGAAAAGTTTATGTTGAATTGCACAGCAGTGAATAAGGAATGGAAATTTGATGAGTTTTTTAATTTTGAGAAGCGTTTTTTGGTGCATGCTCTCCCGCAGCGTCCAAGGCCGCCTTTCTGGATCCGCCAGTGGTTAAGTATGATGCCTACTCTCTCGGTGTTTTCTAATCTCATCTTATACATCTCACCGCCGTGCCATCATGTTCATATGTCTCGCGCTGACATTTCCCGCGCTTCCTGCTGTTCCAGTCGGCCGAGCTGGCGCGACAGGAGGACGAGTTCCGGCAACTGTTCGGTGACGTCGTCGAAAACGATCCACCGGACTCCTCTGGCCAGGAGGAGGATCTGATCGCCGAGTTTCACAGCGATGAGGACAGCTCGTCAGATGAGGACCCTGAGGAGGAGGAGGAGTATCATGGCACGCAGGTTCGTCCATAGGACACTGAATGATCGTATCGTATAAATGTGACGCTCTCTTGCCGGTATTTGTGACTGCATCATAGGGTCCGTTTGTGATATCTAATTTTATCGACGTATGCCAAGCTTTATTTGCTTCGAATTACGGCAGCTTATTCGTCTTTGGAGCATATAAGTGATGTGCTGTCGCTATACCGCGCATGGTGGTCCGTACCAAGGTCCGTACCGTACTGTCGCCTGTCCAGCTATCAAGTGCTGGCTACTCGCAGCTAGCTAGTATGGACGTGCCACAATCCCTTCTTTCCGTACTAGGCAGCACAGACATCCCCAGCTGGTTGTTCGTGGTCTCCTAAGACCAATTACCGGTTCGAGTGCGCATAGAGCCCAAACATCTTCATCGTTACCAGATAATCCACTGTGCCGTTTAGCGTCGTTCCCGTCTTTCCCTCCGGCCTGGTCAAGTGATCACTCTTCTCTCCTCCCTCAGATCATCTACACGAGCCGCACCCACTCTCAGCTGAGTCAGTTTGTGGGTGAAGTGCGCCGGTCGCCGCACGCCGATCATGTCCGTCTGGTGGCGCTGGCGTCGCGGCCCCAGCTGTGCATCAACGACTCTGTCCGGCGACTGGGCAGCGTAGGGCTCGTCAACCAGGCGTGAGTGGGGACTGGAGACCACGGAGATCACGCTGTGGGACAAAGCTGTTGGAAGGGGAGGGGTTGTTAGCTGGAGCTGAGAGAATACTGTCGGGAGGTTAGAAGAAACTGTCTAGGAAGTGGGTTGGCACTGTCAGGTGCCGGGACGGAATGGCTAGTGGCTTTGCCCGGGCTTTTAGTGTAAGGACTTCGAGACGGACTGAACGGAGTTATCGGTAGGCTTGTGTCCGTCTTTTGCGGCTGGCTGTAGTCACAGTTGGTGCATTGTATATAATCACTGGGTCATCGTACCCCTACCATCCCTCTAACCTCACTATCGATATGCTCGCCAGATGTCTGGACATGCAGAACAAGACGGGCTCGAAGGCGACCAAGGTGACCGATGGCGGCCGTGCTGAGAAGAAACAAAAGTCGACCGGCGCGTGCCCGTACAAACGCAGAGTGGACGACATGGCCGCAGAGGTGGGTCCATGTAATGGGAAACCTCCGTTCTCGTGTATATGATTCTATGAAATGGTGGCTGGGGAGGATTGTTGCGACTTGCGAGACAGTCAAGTTTTCTACATTATCTGCTTATTCACAGATGTTCTCAGCTAAAAAAATATATTCCGTTTGCAGATAAAAAAGCTTCGATGTCTTACTGAAGCCTGGCAATTGAGATACCTTGTTTGTCATATTTACGTCGGCGCGGTGGCTAGGTTTGTGGCTGGCTGATGTGGTTAACCTGATGCTCAGAATTTCTGCTTCTTTTTACCTCCCCTGGGGGAGGTAAAACAGAGCCTGTTTGTGTAGCCTGTTTTCTGCCATCACATGCTGGGCCGGTCCCGGCCGCTGAAGGGTATCCCCGCTGGTGTCCCCAGGTGCTGTCGGAGGTCAGGGACATTGAACAGCTGGTGGCTGAGGGCCGTCGCAGGAAGGCCTGTCCCTACTACGCCAGTCGGAGAGCGGTCAAACACGCTCAGGTACGTTCAACTACGCCCCAGTGACCACGCCCACCCAGTGACCACGCCTATATCGTGACCACGCCTATCTCGTGACCACGCCTATCTCGTGACTACGCCGATCTCGTGACCACGCCCATCGCGTGGCCACGCCCATACCGTGCCGTGGCTGGAATGACTTGCTGGGGGCCGATGATCTCTTTAGCGCCGTTCTAAAACTCATATAACAATACCGGAATAAATTCTGATGACGGAGCATGTTTCATGAGCTTGCACTCTCTCCGTCGCTTAAGGTAGCAAGGATCAGCGGGTTGAACCCAGACAGTCACTATAAGCTCGACATATGGCTATGAAGATCCTTTAAATGTATCTTTTTTGTTGAGCATTATTTTCGTTAACGACTACATGAAAATGCTTATACGTACACATAAAATTATCCGCCGCTCTCCGCTCTCACCCGGCTCATGTTGTCTCGGATTCTCCGGCGCTGTGCCGGACGTCTGTGGACCTTCAGTCTCCGACCGGTCCCAGGTCACGGCGAGTTCCTCCGGCTAGCGCGGTCCGCCGACGCCGTCTGACCAGCGCCTGGTGACCTCCGACGCCCGACTCAGATCGGGGCCTCCACAACCGCCCCGCTCTAATCGGGGGCCTCCGCTGCCTGACTCAAATGTGCACATCAAGTACCTAAGAGCTGCAGCAGCACTGACTGACCGACCAGGTAAAATAGCCGTGTTCGGGTCCTCCCCGGCCGTCGAGTCTTCGTTTCCGTGAGGAAAGGTGTCGTAAGACGTACCAGCGGCGCCTTGTTGGCACTTCTCAATGCTCTGACTCACGCCGCGCAGAGCGCCGATGTTTACTCTACGACGGGGCTCGTGAAACTTGGCGTGTCGATAGGCGTACTCGAAGAGGGCCGAATAAGGAAAGTGAGAGAAGTTCCGGTGCTTTTTGATGGACCACTTCGGTTTGCTGAAGAATGTGTTGATATGCGGCTTGGTGACTGCCCGACCCGACCGTGGCTCGATGGACTCGCAGTTTGTGAATCAGTGAGGCCTCCAATGTGTGAATCGCTGAGTGGCCCGGCCTGAGTGGACGCCGGAAAGGGCGGTGGCGCTGGTCAATGTTGCAGGGTGTTGCTCTGAGTGCTGCTCAGGTGTGTTGCATGTTGTCAGATGCTGCTCAGCTGCTGCTAACTGCTGCTAACTGCTACTGTTAGCTGTTCTTCGCAGATTAGTTACTGTCACAAATTGTTAATTGCTGCTAACTCACTATACAATATTGGCGAGCGCTTCTGGATGCTAACTCTGACTGTGTAGGACACTGGGAACGATCACAGACGAGAGGGAACAATGTGACGTTGCGAGGAAGGCGAAAAAGAGCGAGGTGCTCGTGCGACCGAATGTTCGAAATATTACTCCCGGATAGGGTTTACCTGCTTCATCGTGTCCCAGGTCTAGACATCCCCACGCCATCAAAATATTTCGAGAAAAATGGCTTCGGGTATTATAACTACCTAGCAGGTCAGGGATAACGCAAACCTTTATGATTGGAATAGACTACAAGGATTGAAAAATGCTGCGATGTCATAGGTTGCGCGCGGATTTTATTTACTTATTTTATTGAGGTGTTTTGGGCTGTGCTCTGATTCCAGCTCATCTAAGCGGTATTCTCTCCCGTCCACAGCTGGTGGTGGTGCCCTACAACAACTTGTTGCACGCTGGCACGCGCCAGGCCAGCGGTGTGCGGCTTACCGACAGCGTCGTTATTGTCGACGAGGCACACAACCTGCTGGAGACGATCGGTAGCATCCATACCTGTCACCTTTCGTACAGACAGGTTAGTATCTGGTAGCTGTCAGCGCCGATGATCACTGCAGTCCGGGCCCCCTAAAACCTCGAATGATCGTCATCTATAGCCGTCAGCAGTCGTCCAGACAAGCTAGTTTCCACGTTTGTGCCAAACGATATTTAGTGACTTTCCAATAACTGTTTTCCTCAAAAAAGATTTTGACATCTTATAACTAATTTTGACAGTTCAACCTCATTAAGAGTTGATTACCTACGTTAATCGCCGATGTTATGTCAGAATGCACCTTGCACATTACGCATCATATCAGCTATCGCGCATATTTTTTGCGAGGAATAACATTGCATGTCAGACAGACGTAACTTTCCTCCACAGCAATGTGTCTCCAATAATGTTAAGTTTCTGTTTTCGTTTCTCAGGTGTCTGAGGCTTTGGAGCAGCTCAATCACTACATCGAGACGTACAAGAAGAGGTTCTCGCCAAAGAACCTTCTCTATCTTCGGCAGCTGCTGCATGTGCACAAAGGAATCATCAAATTGGTCGGTATGTATATTGTATATTACATAATTAGGGTGCGCATGGGATATCATGTAAGGACACAAATCAAGCTTTTGAACGACGATATTGATATTTGTGTCTGCCAGTAGAAACTCTGCTTCCGCGTATACCTACATTATTGCCAACATAATTGCTTTTGTGACGGTGAATGGCGGAGAACGCTTGTGGCGAAATGAATCGATTCGCAATATAGGATAGGATTATATTCGACTTCTACTTTGCGTTTTTTTTTTTTTTTGCCCTCATCAGAGCACTGCTGTATTCACCTTCGTGTTTCTGCACCCCATTTGTCATACTAGCTTTGCCATGGGCTATCTATGTAACGTATGGATAGATTGGAGTTTGGACATGGTACTTGTGTTGTTCCGTCGGCTGCACACTTCTGGTACCATTGCACATACGCGCATTGGTTTGGTTCACCACAGACAGCACCACGAAGACGATGCCGCCCGGCTCCGAACAGACCAAGGTGCTGTTGCTGAACGACTTCCTCTGCGGCGCCACCATCGACAACCTCAACATGCGGAAGCTGCTGCTGTTCGCGGATAAAAGCCGACTCGTTCAGAAGGTTAGTGTACACTCCTGACTTAATGAACGGTGCACTAGCCTGCTTGTTTTTCTATATGTGTTCCACCAATTAACTTTTAATTTTATCTCTGGCAATTTGGGATATTTAGCAGAAGCTTTATTGCATAGTACCATATCTGCAGAGCTTGGCTGTGTTTTGGCCTGACGTTATCGTTATTTGCTATGCTGTTACACTCCAGAAAATTTGTCATCTAAGGACAAGAAAAGTGCACGCATCACCGTGCCGTGGCCCTCACCTCATGATCACCTCAAATGTTCAGAAAGCGTAGCCAACCACCAAACATGTATGAATCTATGCGCCCGTAGCCATGTCCTAAGCCTGGCACCCATCTACCTCCCCAGCTGCGGGGCTGCTGGAAGAAGCGGCAGGTGACGGCCGCGCCGGTGACCACCGGCCGGTCCGCCGTCTCGCAGTTTCTGCGGGAGATCCAGCAGCCGGTCAGTGACCAGGCGCAGGCCACAGGTGGGTGAAACCGGCCCAGAACGGCTCGTGATAGGGGGGGGGGGGGGTGAGTGGGGTTTCAATTGGAGACGGACTGTCCCGTGACTGTTTCTTGTCGTGGCGACAGAATATTTGATTTTTTACAGGGAATATGGCTGGTGTGATTGTATCAAAATTGAATGTGGTGATATTGTGGCTTTTTTGTGTGGTCCGAAACGTTAGTTGATCGATACCAGTCTAACCCGCTCCCGATATGTCGTCGTTTGGAATTGACTTGCACGCCTATAAGAATTTTCGGTGTTTTTGTTTTGTTGGGTTAGGCCCCAGGCCCTTTCGATCCAATTAGACTTTTTCAGAGCTCCGGGAGGATGCTAGGAATTATGGGGAGATATTGGTCTGGGCGGGCACCCTAGTGAGTCGCCGGGACTGAGTCTGTCCAGAGGACAGGTCGACCAGCCCCCTAAGTACTCACTGCACCCGGCTACAGTGGTGTGCTCCCTCGGGAGCAGCGGTCCGCTCCAAGGGAGACAAAGAGATAAAGGTGACCGCCCGCATGAGATAAAGGTGCCTGTCCAGTCCGGAGGGGGGGGGGGGGTTGAGGCGTGTAGGAGAAGGATTTCAGCATCCTGAGGATGGAAACGACGGAACGGAGGGTTTCAGTGCTAGTCCACCACATCCACAACATCCACAATCCACATCTGCCGACCGCTCCTCGCGTATATACAGCCGGTCCCTGGGTACCCATTTGACGTGGTTTCCGTATTTATCATCAGCTGCTCATCATACGTGCCACTGTGAATAGTGAAGATGTCTCATTTCCTCTGCAGCGGAGCAGCAGCCCGAGGCGCCGGCCGAGACTCGCACCTCTGATATGCCGCTGATGGCCACACTGCAGCTCATCAGCGCCCTCTCTGATCCCGACCGCGACTGTCGGCTGCTTATCTCCACCACCAGGGCGGAGCCACCTACCATCAAATATCTGCCGCTCAATGCGGCCGCGCAGTTCACCGATATCGTGAAAGAGGCACGGTAAGTAGAAATGACACATCACAATGCATAATGTGTTTCATAAAGTGGTATCACACAATTCAGTTATACCCGATTAATTCCACTTTAGTGCAGTAGGGCAGGATTGCATCCAGCATCTTTTTCACAATTACTCTGTGATAACCGTGATCTATTCCCCACTTCTGCACGATTTGCGGTGGTAAACGTCAGACCGGTGGTAACCATGACTGCCTCCCGCATAACTATACATAGACCCGTGGTGGCCAGCCACACCCTTGGTAACAGAACAGTAGACTTCCAATCATTGCCCTCCCACACAGCGCGGTGGTGCTGGCCGGCGGCACGATGCAGCCCGTCTCCGAGTTCCGCGACCAGCTGCTGGTGGCCGCCGGCGCCGCGCCCTCCCGGGTCACTGTGTTCAGCTGCGGCCACGTGGTGCCCTCCGATCAGCTGCTCACCCTCAGTTTGGCGGCCGGGCCGTCCGGCGCAGAGCTGCTGTTTAACTACCAGAACCGGGCCCTGCCGGCCACTGTGAGTGTCGCTCGACGAGCCGCCGGTGCGCCTCCTGCTGAATGTTATGTAGTAAATGTGTACGTAATGTTACCTTTTCTCAAGCTGTTAATGTCAGCAGGTTTGATAATCCATCGAAGTTGTTTCATTTACGGTAGCTTTATGAGCTAGTAAAAACTTAATACGAATATGTGCATGAGTTCTTATTTACTGCATAGCCTAGTAAATACGGACGAATTTTGTATTAAGCTCTCAATTGTTATCCGTTTGCAATGTGCATTTAATGTGCCTATTACTCCATATTCATGTCTTTTGCGGTAACGTGCATCAGCCTTGATAATGACGTCGCCAAATTAAGCGACAGCGGCTCACCCGTTACCAATGTCTGTCCAGCTGGTGTTGTCTGCTGGCTGATCCCTACCTGCCACCACCCGTGTCCACAGATGAGCGAGCTGGGACGGGTGCTGGTGAGCCTCTGCACCCTGGTGCCGGCGGGGGTGATCTGTTTCCTGCCCTCGTACGACTACGCCGCCGCCACCATCGCCCATCTGACCTCCACAGGAGCCATGGACAGGATCGCGGCCAAGAAACAGGTACGGTGGGATAATGGTGGTGTGTTAGGGTTACTGGTTGGTTGGAGGGGGTGATAGGTATTGGGTAGTCGACCTGCTTCCGTAGAAAAAAATATACGGATGCCTTACGCATTTTTAAGCTTGAAAGCCCGTCTGGTACGCTAAAATCTTCATTTGCTCGCACAATGCTTTAGAAGACCTGGTATTGATGACCAAACCAACCCAGTGTGTCCCTGACAACACTGAATAGTGAATACCATGCATCCCACTGTTGGTTTCGACACCGATGTAGGAAATTCGCTCGTCAATAGCCCTGGTAGTTGACACCATACCTCTCATCTTGCTTGACATCATTGTGCCCCACCCGGTTAGTACTGATCGATGTTAACGCCACCCGTTTGTCCTAACACCAGCCCCCTCCCCCCTCTCCGTCCATAGGTGTTCCGGGAGCCGCGTCAGGCCAACCGGGCCGACGCCGTGCTGTCCCAGTACTCTGCCGCGGCCAGGGGGACCGGCCGGCGGTCCACGGGGCCCTCCGGAGCCATACTCTTCTGTGTCGTCGGTGAGCCGGGACGCTGAGCTTTGCTGTTTATGATGCTAACTTTGGGAAACTTGGATCAAAATCGCCATTTGCATTTACATTTTTTTTCTTCTGAAATATTGCGTAGCCTTGATTTGCAAATAATCGCGGGTAGAAGTTTCGGGCTGGAGTCCATATTCAGGTCAAGCACGATTTTCCCACTTTTTTCGCTCTTTATTAATTATTATGCACGGCTAATTCTCTTTCATGTTACAGGCGGTAAGATGAGTGAGGGCATCAACTTCAGTGACGACCTGGGTCGCTGCGTGGTGGTGGTCGGCCTCCCCTACCCCAACGCCCGATCTCCGGAGCTCGTGGAGAAAATGAACTTCCTTGACGCCAACGTGGTACGTTTTACCTACCGTCATACTTCGGGTAGGGTAGGTATAAAGTAAACCCATTGTATGACAGATCCTAATCGTGGTTGAATCTGCACCTCTGTCCACACCTCGAGCCGAGCCGGGGAAGAATTGACTATGTACACCATATCAGTTTTCCCCTTCAATTGGCGTCGTGCTCTTGGTCGTGCTTATTACATGCTAGGATTTATAAACGGAAGTGTGTCGCTCTCCCTTTGTACTTTGTGTCATTTAGCACACCCCAGTTCTCACGGTGTGTGCACCGTTTTCAGAAGCGCTCTGAGGATGGTCGAACGGCCGGCCAAATCCTCTACGAGAATCTCTGTATGAAGGCGGTCAACCAGTCGATCGGACGCGCCATTCGGCACAAGTGAGCGACGAACGCCGGGGCTTGGTATTGTGCTTGGACGTTGGTGCTGTTTCCATTCTTATCCTCTCTTTTTATCATTATACATGCTCTTATTGTTTGTCTTAAAAGCGTTTTTGACATCAGCCGAGGGACATGCACAGTGTGTAGCGGTGTCTACCAATTATAAAAACAATGGCGGTGATTTAGCGACAGTGATGGGAATAAGTAATTATTTTAATCGTGATTCCCGATTTGAACCAACCCAATGGTGCGCTATAACGTCTATCTACACATCAAATGCCTAAATCAATCCGATCATCCGACAAACGGGGTGAAAAGCGACATACTCTGCTAAGTGCTAACTACGCTTAAACCCCACCTGAGTCCTGACCTGACCTGACCTCGGTCCCAGGAACGACTACGCCTGTGTGGTGCTGTGTGACGCGCGCTACAGCCGGGCCAGCACGGTGGCCGGTCTTCCCGAGTGGATACGAAGACAGATGGGACACCACGCCAAGTTCGGGCCCGCCTTCGGGCAGATCCGTCAGGTGGGTTCACACTGTCTCGCCGAGAGTCGGCGAGTGGCGACCGTGTCTTGCGCTGGTGCCTCAGATTCTTGATATAATTGCGCATTACCTCATTCAGAGCTTTAGCCTCATTGGAGCTGTGTTTTTTATGTTGCACTGGGAGATTTACTGGTAGATTGTGGGGTGCACCTAGGTTCCTATTACACTTGGCAGAAAATAATACCTGGGCTTATCTCTCTAAGGCCTTGTCGGAGAAACGGCAAGCCTGGTGAGATAGCGTCACGTCGATATGGCGGGACGTGTCATCTGGTCGGTCGTATGACGGTCGTGTTTTCCATTTTCCTCCACTATAAATTGCCGTTATCTCTTTCCCGTGCTCAGATGTATCTCACGTCAAAGTCGCGGGGCTTATGTGGAATTATGTGCGCGCTACCGATAGTGTCTCGTCTGTAGTCTACGCCCTGCCTAGTGTGTCTTGTCTTTCACTTAGCGATGTCAGGAAACGTGTCTTGATATTGTTCTCTTCTAGCCATAATATGTTGTGGCCCGTTATATATTGACCTCCGTAACTCGTTTTTGTTTGCAGTTCTTCAAGAAAATGCAGGAAAAGTTTCCTTCGTCCTAAAGAGCTACAAACACACCTGGAGGAAAACGATTGTCGAGGTTTCGTCCCCGTGAATTTTTCAAACGGGTAAAGCCAACATCTATCTGTGGTCGGGCAGCGTCGTACTGTGTTTATCTGTACCTTGTTTAAGACTCAAGAGCTATTGAATGTGTATACGCTGCGAATGTTGAATAAAAATATTGGATATTCTAAGCGCAAGACCTAGCAAGTTGTGTTACGTCATTGTCATGATGTGCTAATTGTTCCTCCGGTATGCTTTTCAGTGTTCAGACTCTTTCGCATAGAAGTCTTGAAGGAAGCTCCAGCAGGTTGAGTGGGTAGGATGTGGGCCTCTCCGTTGTCAGGGTGAGTAGGATTCATTTCGGATGAGGCCACGTCGACACGGGGATGCCAGCTGTCCACGCTGGACTCCCCTGTGCTACTTGTAAGAAAATTAGCTGGAATGTTTGCATGAACGGATTGACAGAGCCGGAGCCCACGGTGAGCACTGGGTGTGTTGCGTAGGCTCCATCCGTGCAATCCGCTCGGCTATCCGTGTGATGGGCTCCGGCCGCTCCCTCCAACCGCACTTCAGCCCCGTCATTAGTCTACGACTCGTAATGTGTCGATGGCCGAAGCGACTCGAATCCAGGCTGAGTTAGAGTTGCCTCTCACTACCGTGAGACCGTCCAAAGCCTCGGGACGGAACCTCGCGACGGACAAAGTGAACATTTGATCCTTAGCACGGGAAGATCGAATCAGCTTTCATAGCACTGCTCCTAGCTCCCAGCGAGCAATTACATTGACAAATCGAAGATGCGGGCGTGCTCCCCTAGAAGTAAAATCTCAAAATTAATTAAACTTTCGGATAAAAACTCCCTCGCCCTACTGAGGCTCCTGACAAGGACGACGGAAGCCGCATATAGCCGCGTAATATTTCGAGCATAGCCACCTAACTAATGGAATTTTATTTTCATGCATACCCAGACCCTAAAAAGTGCAATACAATCGAATAGAATAGAGGTTACGGATTGAGGACGGTCAACAAAGGACCTGTAGGAATCCGGTCATCTATTTCTTCCGTACGTCAACCATGTAGCTCTCTAGCTCATCCTGGCACCGCATGCTTAGTCAGTCCGCAGGGTATACTTCCTGTTCGCCCAGGGGCGCGGGAACTACGTTCAGACTGGGGGGGGGGGAGGGGGCACACCATAATAGAGATCAACCTAGGGTACCCCCAAATCTAGTTTACTCACCGGTTTTAGGCGACTTATTTTTCATCCCTTGACTTTTTCAATAAAAAAAAACATTTGCAAAAAAGTGTGGTATTCCGTCTCAAAGCTGTGGGGGCATCGCCCCCACGGCCCCAGAGTTGGGGGGCAAGCTCCCCCCACTGCCCCCCGTCTCCCGCGCCTATGTCAATGTGCTCGCCCACAGCTTGTCGAGATGATTTTTGAATGTGTTCAAGTTTGGTGCCGCGACGGCATCTGCAGGGAGACTAGCAGGGAGACTGTTCCAGCCAGTTCCCGCGACCAGCTGTCAACAATGCGGTGACAGAAAGAGGTCTGGCGAAGATGTGAGTTCACTCGTTGTTGCCTATCGAAAAAATTAAGGCGCCAACTTTACATAGCCTTGGAGTCCTTGGACAGAAGGTTTCAGTTCGCCAGTCAATAGTCACAGTAATCATTTAGCTGTACTGTTCTTTAACAGCACCGGGGCGCGTGGTCACAGTTCCTGCGCTATTTCGACAAAATACTTGAGCTAGGCGCATTCAATACTATTGGCCTGTTCCAGCGCCTCCAGAAGAAATTCTTGACTGGAGGCTCTACCAGAGGTTTTACTGGAGGCGCTGGAACGCAATCTGGAGATTTCTGGAGATTGGCGTCATAGATACCAAAAGAATGACGATTGTTCTCTCTTGAAACGCAAAATTTGTTTTCAATTTTAGTTAAAAAGATAAATAAAATTATAGCAATGTAATTTTCTTTTCATTCAAGTTGTAAAATAATCAGTCAAATGTCCTTTGTTTACATTCGTGATTGTCACATGTGCACCATAATTGTAGACCAGAGCCTCCAGAGAAATTTGGACCTCTCAACTCTCTGGAGGCTACTGGAGGTTTCTGGAGCTTTGGCGAGAGCTTTCTGGAGCTTTCTGGAGGCGCTGGAACGCTCTCTGGAGGATTCTAGAGCTTTCTGGAGCTTTCTGGAGGTTTCTGGAGGCGCTGGAACAGGCCCTATGCTAATGTTGTAGGCACTCGCCTTTCTTTCGGTTCTCCCGCGGGTTATCGCCAGGGGGAGGCACTCGCCTTGGCCGTAGGGGAGACCCGGGAGGTATGGGCCGGTTTTGTGCAAAGGCAATTTTCTTCCAGTGGGCAGTGGCTACACCCGGTTTTTCACTCTGTGCACGTGAAATTGCCTTTCGTCTGCAAAGTGTGCCTGATATTAGGCATCTGGGATCAACTATTTTGTCTCGAGATAACTTTCAATAAATCATGTGCCTTTTCGATCCATCAAAATACACCGGGAGGTATGGGCCATGGCCCGGGAGGCATGGGCCGGTGCCATGTTCATATTCTTTTCTCGACAATGAGAATAATACTCGTAGCTGGTTTCGACCTTGATCTCTCTTAGAGCCCAGGAACCGCATAAGCGGCCAACAGCTTACTTTATGGAGGTCACTTGGGCCCATATGTATTTTGGTTAACTCAATCATGCACCATGAAATAAGATCAATAATATTTTTCCGTTCGAATGAAATTTGAAGTTAAATTTTCCACCTTGCGCGACAAAAATAAAACTTATTGACGGGGACATTCAATGAAAGCATCTTCTTTATTTATTTAGGATCAACGGGGTGGGTGGCCCGAACCTCCCGGTTAGGACGCCAGAATGTGCGTAGCATCTCAGCTCATAATCTTTCATGAAAGCTTCAAATTGTCTATCCAGTCATAATTTTCATGCTTTAAACTTTATGTTGGCGATGGTCTGACATCATAAAACGAGCGTTCAAATTTATTACGATTTTTTTTTTTTGTATTCACCGTATTTTACTCGAAGAGGGCAAAAACACTTCGTCACCGCTCATTGCCAAAGAAGACTGAGGATGATTTTGAAAATCGCGTGGGTTGTATAATGGAATGGCTGTTACCAGTTAATGCCGTCAAATGTGTAAAAATACGCAACACTTCTTCACAACTGCGATGGCCCATACCTCCAGGAGGCCCATACCTCCCGGGTTTCCCCTATATGGGCCAGAATGTCTAATGATTTCTGCCATGTTGTGTATACCAAAGTCTTGAAAAGTTGATCACTGCAATCAAACTGCAAGCATGAAGCAGCAGCACTTTTGAGTAGTGTACCTCTCACTAAACTGCACCTCTGCTACCGTACATGCAATTTATATTTCTGGTATACACAACATGGCGGAAATCGATAGACAAAAACAAGTCACCAATGCTCCTTCCAGTATATATTAGAGTTCAGTGGTTATCGCGAGTCTTTTGGTGATAGGTTGCCTAGCAACAGTAGGAGGTGAACTGCTTTTGAACAACCCAATTTCAGTTAGCCCTCTGAAATGGTTTTCATGTTTTCACTCGATCTTAACATTTTAGGGCGAGTTTTGTTTTATTTTCTTGTGGCGTACGTTACTTATCTTGGGATTAAGTGAGACTATTAGAGTAAGAAGCTTTTGAGGGATTGTGTGGCTTGACTGAGTTGCTGTAAATATTTAATAATCACTGGTAAGCAAGCACGGTCGCCACTCGTCACTCGTTTTTTTATCATATCTTACCTACTACCTTCCCTTCAAGGTGTTCGGGTTAAAGAAGGCCACTTGGCCACAGCCCCCGTTCACGAGCCTCAGAATTCCTTTACCGTGACGTCACGTGGGCGGCAAAAATCCCTTCACCCCATAACGATCCATACAAATGAGGCCGAGTTTTGAGCTGGGCTGACGCCCAAGTTGAGGGCTAAAATTTTATAAAAAGCATACCATTTGACTCAGTAAGGCTTGATTTTTCCAAAACCGGGCCTCAATAGGTCGAATTCAAATGAACCAAGCATTAATTTTGCCTTTTAGATGAGGCCTGCAAATTTCGATGAAGTTTTTTCTCGTGAAGGAAAAAAAATAGTGCTACCAAATGCGTCTTGCGCCGCTTTTGCAAAAGTTAGATACTAACGCCATTTTCTATCAATAATATGCAAATTTATTATGATTTTGGCCAAATCGAATGGCAAACATTCACTTAACAATAGCAAGACTTCTATGAGGTGCATTGTTTTGGCGAGTGATCTATAGTATGCTTCAAAAATACCACTGGAACTTGGTATGCATCATACTGCACTACCAAAGGAACTGAAGACTCGTATCTGAGCCACTTTGAATGCAAGATAATGGGCTGAAGTGTGAAAAAGGCTGTGTTATGCCTTTCAAGAGAAGAAAACATGCCAGTATTGGTCTTTTAGCACAAATATTTATTTCTAGTGAATATTAATAATGTGTAAAATCATAAAATGTTGAAGTTCACTTGATACGAGAACAATCAACAGATCACCAAAGCAAGGGACCTGGTTGACTGGTCTTGTTGAGTCCTTTTTTACATTTCTCTCATCCAATAAGTACCTAGTTAATTGAGTGAGTATTGTCTACTATTATAATTTGTGGTTAATACCTTATCATAGAACATTGTGAGCCACTGTCGTGCTGCCGCAAGGCGCAAATGAGCAAGCACAAGTGCTACAGTGACATGAATCATTATGAATGTATTTCCAAGGTGGCATGTACAATAAATGTTACAAGGGTGGAGTATGTTCTTTTATGAAATGGAAATCATTTAGAGATACAAAACATCACATGATTCAGAAGAATATTGGTGAGCTGATGATATTTTATGTTCGTACTTTAATAGCACCCATTAAAATCATTTTCATTTTGTTGAGCAGTGCTCTTGAGATAATGGGTGACCGGGACGGGTCAAGTAATTGAGTTGAAGAACTATGCTGAAATATGAATACAACACTAAACATTTTCAGCACGAAAAACCATCACCTTCTTCGTCCACTCCAAACACATCTATTTTTGAATGCATATTTCACACTCAGGAAACCTTAATGTAAGGCTGGCTGAACTGCAGGTTCATTAGCTACGTTAGACTGTGCCCATGCTGCCCACAGTTCCTTGCATAAGAAGACCAGTGAGTGATGAAGTTCTAACCTCTAAATCATTGAAGTCACTTAGAAACATGGTCTGGCACATTTTGCACAGCTATTTCAATTTCATATAATCCAGCAAAAGATATGTTGAAAGTCGTATGGAAACCATGAATAATGAATGTGTACTGGAGCAGCCAATCTGCAAATATGGTAACTTCGACGAGATCTTGTTGGTGTGGGCTTATTCGGCTGGTGCGGATTTGGCATGGTGCGGAGCGGATTTGGCTAATGGCTTGGTGCAGTGCGGATTTAGTGTGGTGGGTAGGTTAAGGTGGTAGGTTTTAGGTTGTAGATTTAAGATTGTAGGTTGTAGGTAAGGTTAGGCCAGGTTTGGTTAGGTTTGGTTTGGCTTGACTTGATTAGCAGGCATCTCTGGGTAGAGCGCCTCTTCCTGGTTGGAAAAACAAGTGTGGGGCTTGCTTAACGACTACCACATTTTTTTCTAATGCATGATTTTACTAGATTTTACAATTTGAAACATGTCAAAGACTGTTGAAGAGGCAATTGGTGTACATTGCTCAGACCATCACTTTGTCCATATAGCCAATGCAGCATTATTATGAGGGCTAATTATTGCATATCTGATGGCCATGCTCAACCCAAAATTTAAAAATATTCATAGCTGAATAAAAATTTAATCACTCATCAGCATTTCAATTTCATTGTGCGATACAAACCGACCTCTGATGAACAGACACTATAAGGGAAAATAATGACAGAAATGAGAAAACCTGGTGATATTATAAGCGATCTGATAAATAAAGCTAGAGTCGTCTGAATCCTCAATAGTCCTATCTAAAATCGCAAATTTGCCCATTATCACTACCTAATGGGCAAAAAATCCACAAACAATACCCTATATACACGGCCTATACGTCCTTGAACAATACCTTGCATTATAAATGTCTCACGCAAGTCATTTATGTATTTGCAAACGGCTACCAAATCGCTACCATATTATGTGACGTCACCTGGGCGGCAAAAATTCTTTAGTGAACTAACCTTATAAGTAAAGTAATCTTGACTTGGCCAGGCCAGGACACTGTTTCACCGGTGACAGCAGCATGCTGCTATTACAATTAACATGTGTCAAATTGGGTTTCCATGGAAACATCAACAAACCATGGTAACATCCACTGTGGTAACATCTGTGTAATGTCATCAAATATTGCTGCTAACATCTTCACGGCCTTGTGATCAAGCAAATGTAACAAACACATTCAACGAGACAGCAACTCTGTTTCAAACGCAGCTATAAAAAGCTCATGGATTACAAGAAACGTCATTAGTGTGACATCATCACATTGCGTCAGCTTGTGCAATTTGATAGCAGCTATTTATCTCACTGTGATAGCAGCATGCTGCATGCTGTTATCACAGGTGAAACAGGGCCCTGAGGATCCCGCTCTCATCGAGCTCGTGAGGATACCTATACATTCTGGACTGCGGACTCTAAGGGGAAGGGGATGTCATACTTCTTGTTCTTCCAGTGTTTGTCCAGTCATGCCTTGAATTGGTTCACCGATGTTGCTGACACCAAAGAGTCTCAGCTGGGAGAAACTACAAGGCGAAGATCCAAAAATTGATCGGTCAATAAATAGACCTTTGATGACCTTATATGGGCATAAATGCAGCCCTCGCTTCTATGGGTGAGGAACAGGGTATAAGGTGCCGGTACTTGCGGTATCGCATCCACTTATTTGAGAGAAAAGGCTTCCATCCTCCACTAGAAATTAACGTGATTTGATTAAATTTGGTGAATGCACTCTAAAATGGTGATAGGAAAACGTTTTTTTGCAGGCTCTGGGCATCACAATCAGCTGGCCATCCAATAAATGGATCGGTGTTTTGAAAGAAAATTGTTTAAAGACTTAATTTAATTACATCTTTTATGTTTTACTGTTGGTTCAAGTAACATACCATATTCATTATCAGATAAATCCCCCTGTCCTATCCCCTTGTCCGATCGCGCAATTACAGATTATTGGAGAATTTGGAGGCGGCAAAGTTTACCGTGCCCATCAAGGGCAAACACTCACCTGTACTTTATGAAGCATAGGTCCCTCTCACGTATACGTCAACCAGCCGCAGACCACGGAGTTTCATATCATCGATCCAGCGCTCGAGCCCCGGCGATCACCTCCAGGGGCGCAGCGCTCTACCAATTAAGCTAACAGCCATCACTCAGTGACTCAGAAGTGCTCCGACTACAGTTACCGCCGCCGCAGAATAAATTGTGCTGAAATGTTACTGTTTTGCACCTCAAGTTGAACTGCAGTCTGCTTTATTTTCAAACATGCATATTGTTACACTATTTTGAAGATTTCAATCTAGAGGATTGTGCACAGGATTTGTAATGAAATTTGGAGGAATCTGGAGGATTTTTGTAACCTGTCAGGAGGCTAATAAACGTCAAGCACCCGTCGCGCTTCGAACTCAGGCTGTTTTCTCACCACGCGGAGTCCAACGCTCTACCAACTGAGCTACGGAACCGACTAGGCGACTAGTTTCCTCAAATCCCCAACTGATATCAATATGTGAACATAAGACCAACATAAGTGTGGTCTTCTTTCTGAGTGTCAAGTTCTCCATTGTAATCTACTCATTTAACAGCCTTTGGTTTAAAAGCACATGTTTTTTTAAGCACAAATTGTTTTTTTATCTGATTATTGTTCGGTTCCTTGCAGGTGGCACCAATTTATTAAGATGAGTGAAGATTCATCAATAATTGATGACATTGAGAAGACTGAGGACTTACTGAAAGAGCATCAAACTAGGTAAGTAGGCACCATGTGGAAAATTGCACGATAAAGCATCAGGTGGTTAAGGTTTCATTGACATTGGCCCAGTATTTTCTGATTGTGGGCTTGTGTCCAACAGTTAAGAGGTTTTGATATGATGTGTCTGTGTTCCATGTAGAAAATTGACAAGAAAATATTTAAAAGGGCACAATTTTATTTGGTTTACCAATCTTTTGGGCTAATTTGATCCAATTAATCCACTAAGAGCGGAGAAACTGAAAAATGAAAAACGGTAGGGTAGGTAGGGGAGAGGGGCAGATTTGGGGGCACATCCTCTCAGTGGGGGTTTCTTTAAAACTGTGACGGTCCGCCCCACTCACCGGTCACTGTAGTACTGATGCTCCGCCGCCGCGCTGACCCGTGGGTCAGCTGATGTCCGACCCGTCCACCAGAGGCGCGCCAGTCGCCCATAGGCGCGCTCAGGTATCCCAGAACCCCACACAACACCACACTACTCCTCCCCCACTTCAGCCCCCACTCCCCACATCTGTCTGCTAGTTTATACTGTCCACTCCCCCAGCCGGTCCGGCGGCTTCCGCTCCCTTGCACTCCGTCGCAGTTCCCGAGCTGGTACATCCGCTGGGTGGGGAACCGGCTCTCCCTCTTCGCTGTCATCTTCCCCATCATCTTCACCCTCAGCATCGTCAACGTCCTCTTCTTCCGATTCGAATATCAGCTCCCTTTGGGCAGTTGCTGGACCTGGGTGCTGACTCTTCCCTTGTGACTGACCCTCAGCCGGTGAAGGTCGACGGCCTTGCAGTTTTGCCCCATCTGCAGCGCGTTCGGAAGCCTGTAGGTGCTCTTTCCGTGGCTCTACCGGCTTAAGTTGGTCATGATGCCTCAGAAAACGTTGCCTGAAGTTGTCCTCTCGCTTGATCCAGTAAGTATTACCCTGGCGACATTGAACCACGATGAATGGACCACTCCAACGGGCCTGAAGCTTTGCAGGAGTTCCCGGTTTGGGTGGAATTTTCATGAATACACGGTCACCAACCTGATATTGGACAGCATTCCCAGACCCCCGGCTTTTTCTTACTCTCGCTTCTTTCATTTGTTGCTCCCTGGCAACTACTTCCTCATGAGCGCTGTTGAGGTCTCTCACGAGATTCTTCGCCCAGCTTGCCTCTGTGGTACGACCAGCCGTGTTGTTCTCCAATCTAATGAGCTCCGGAGTGCGTGGTTCACGTCCATATTGGAGGTAGAATGGGGATCTGCCCGTTGTGGAGTGAGGTGAACTCATGTACTGGAAACGAACGATATTGAGCTGAGTATCCCAGTCTACGGCACGCTCTTGAGAACGTTTCCGCAATAAGGACCCGATAGTCTGATTGACTCTCTCTACCGCCCCATTCGCCTGGGGGTGGAAGCTGCTGATTCTTTTCTTGTCGATTCCTAGCGTCGAGGCCAGAAGCTTGAAGTGACTGTTCTCAAATTCTAGCCCTCTGTCAGTCAGCAATGACTCTGGAATGCCATGGCGATACACAAGTACTTCCACCAGCGCTTGAGAAACAGCTTCAGCGGACTTACACGGGAGTGCTGCCAGCTCCACACTCTTGGTAAGCAAGTCCAGCACGACCAGGACGAATCGGTTACCACGCTGTGTCGGACAGCGCCCAAACGGACCCATGAGATCTACAGCCACGTGTTGCCATGGCGAGGTAGCCTGCGTAGTGAGCTGTAGTGGTGCCCTGAATCGCCGAGGTGGGTCATTTGATCGGGCGCACACCTCACAGCTACGACAGTAGTTCCTGACATCAGCCGACATCCCCTGCCACATGTATCCTGCTTGGATCACCTTCTGCCTCGTTTTCTTTGAACCGAAGTGCCCAAGTTTGTCATGCTTGAGCTTCAGTATCCGTGGAATGAGATCCTGAGGAATCATCACGAACTGCTTTCTTCCTTTCCTGGCCAACACTAACCCATTACCCGGATCAAACACTGGCTCGTAACCAGCAGCACGCCACTGTGTAGACATCTGTCCGTCCCTCCTGCGGAGACGTAGTTCGCTGCTCAGGGCGCCGAGCCGCTCATCTTGTTGCTGAGCTCTGCGCAGCTCTTCGAGGGACGGCACATCCGCCTCTGGGCAAGTATCGACTGGCTCATGAACGGGAACCGGTAGCTCAGCAGTGGTACACACTTGAGCCCGAGACAGCGCGTCAGCCGGCGCATTTTCCTCCGCCTTCCGGAAATGAATGGAAAACTGAAACTCTTCTAGCTCTTCAATCCACCTAGCGTACCTGCCTCGTGGATCTTTGGTGTTCTTTAACCACTGTAAACCAAAGTGATCGGTGTACCAGCGAAACGGCCTCCCAAGAAGATAATGACGAAACTTGCGAACAGCAAAAATCAAAGCGAAGACCTCCTTATCCCTGATGTGCCAATTTCTTTCACAATCAGTAAACGATTTGGACGCAAAGCAGATTGGCCTTTCAACTCCAGCATCATCTCGTTGAGAAAGAATACACCCTAATCCAGTATCACTTGCATCAGTGCTCACCTCGAAGTCCCGTTGTAGGTCTGGTAGCTGCAACGCTGTAGCTTCACAAAGGGCCTGCTTCATCCGTTGGAACGCGAGTTCTTTGCCTTCGTCCCAATAAAAACGAGACTTTCCGGAGAGCTGGTGGAGAGGCGCCGCCAGGAGTTGCAGTTGTGGAACAAAGTCATTGTAATAGGTGCACATCCCCAAAAACTGCCGCACCTGTTTTGTCGTTGTTGGACTTGGCCAGCCCTTGATTGCCTCTACACGCTCCGGATCTGGCTGTACTGCAGAGCCAGAAACAACGTGACCGAGAACGCGTATGCGGCGACGGCAAGCCACCACTTTTCTACTCTTCACAGTTAGACCTGCTTTCCGCAATCTCTCAAGCACTGCTCGTAGCAGAGTGAGGTGTTCCGTTACCGTCCTTCCTCCCACGACGACATCATCCATGTATGCTGTGACACCGTTACCGAGAAGGCCCTTCAGCACGACGGACATGAGGCGGGTAAAACAGCTCGGCGCACCCTTGGCTCCATAAGGCATCACCAGAAATTCCCATTTTGAATCTTCTGTACAAAACGCTGTTTTATGCCGATCTTCCTGCGCAACGGGTACCTGCCAGTAAGCAGAATTAAGGTCGAGCGTCGAGAACAAGGTCGAACCGGACAAACTGTCCAGGCATTCCTTCACCGTCGGCAGGTACGTAACCTCTTCAACTGTCCTTTCATTCAGACCTCTATAATCAATCGCAAACCTATATGAGTTGTCAGCTTTCCTAACCATCAGGATTGGCGCTGACCACGGCGAAACAGACGGCCGAATGATGCCCCGTGCCTCCATCGACGCAACTTGCCGCCTGACTTCATCCCGTAAGTGGTACGGCGTCCGGCGCGGGCGCACCGCCACCGGCGGCCCGTCAGTAGTGGTGATTTTGAACGTTGCCATGTGTGTGCGGCCCAACTCATCCTCGTTATTCGCGAAGACATCTCTGAATTCATTCAAAAGACTCTGCAACTTCTTCCGGTCAGCACCCCCAATATCCGCTTCCGAAATATCCACTTCTGCCGGACCCGTACGCAGGAGCTTGTCCCTTTCCGCGTCTTCCTCCACACTTGCAGCCGTAACCTGGCCCATGACGGAGTTCCCATATATTTTGACAGATTCTGCGCCAGGATTGTGAATCAGAATAGGCATCCTATTCCCCGTGTCGGACCGAACGAAACAGGGGACTGATGCTACCCCGTAACGAGTAGCTTTCTCAGGATCAGGATCGAATAGCACCTCCCTGGGAAGACGGCCAAAATCGTCCGCGCCTACATACACGACTCGCTCAGAATGAGGCTCCACGACGCAGTCTTGCAGCAAACGAACCGAGACTGGCTGCGTAGGGACACCGCAGTGTCTGGCCTCCAACTGCATACGGTGACCACCGAGGTGCAACAACTGTGCGTTAAGGTCGACCGAAAAACTAGGAAATCGGCGGAGAACGTCCATACCAAGAATTGCAGGCGCAGATAATTCTTTCACGACAATAATTGGCACGTGGCTTACTTGCGTCGGGCCAATGCCAACGTTCGCTGTGATGGCACCAATACAATTTAAAGGCAGTCCATTAGCGCCAATCGGTTTCCGAGCAGTCGGGCTCATTTTCAAACCATTTATCCCAGGTAGCGAGGCTGAAATGCACGTGACCGCCGCCCCTGTGTCTACCAGCCAGGAACAGGGAATCTTGTCTACTGTCCCGCCCACATGCAGCGATTGATTTCCCGGCTGGCCCGCACTCAGCAGAGAGGGACCAGCCGCCTTCAGTTTAAAGACAGCGGACAGTCGTGCTGCGTATGTCCAAACTCACGACAGCGCCAGCACATGACCGGGCTGGCCCGTCCCCGGCCGCGCGCCAGAGGTGCGCGTGTGCAAAACCGCTGAATATGCCCAGCTTCTCCACAAGTCCAGCAGACGACGCGGCTCATCGCTCCATGCTCCATACCAGGATCAGCGTGCCCCCAATGTGGCTCCTGGCTCCGTCCCTGCCCACCCGGCGGGCCGGCGCCGGCCGCCGAGTCACGTGCTGGGGTCATGCTGCCACGACCCGCTCGCGGCCCCGGGGCGCCTGCAGCCCCGCCCCGCCGCCACGCGGCGCCCACCCGGCCGCGACCGACCGGCCCACGGGATGGAAAAATACGCGCAACTTGCTCCTCTCCCGGGCTGCTGCACCCGCCAGCAGCTCCTGTTATGACATCACGAATTGCCAGAACGGAACGGGACAGTTCAGCGACCTCCGTTCTCAACTTTGTGATACTGTCTGGCTCACGCACAGTCTGACCCGCCGGCTCCAGACTGCCAGCAGAGTTCCCTATGATCCCCACAGCACAGGCAGGTTTGGGTTTGCCGTCTGCGCCCGCCATTGCCTCGTCAATCTGTTTTGCACGGGCTGGAAGGTTCTCGACATCCAGGTCGGGGCATAGTAGCCGCAGCTGAGCAGACACAGTCGCATTGATACCGTCGAGAAACCGAGATTTTATCAGAGCCTTGGCGACAGAAGTGTCCGCCTTGGTATCAGGAAAGGCGTTCACGAACAGAGACTGCAACGCAGCCAGAAACATACCGTAAGTCTCGCCGGGAAGTCTGGCGCGGGTCCCGAACGCAGTCTGATACGACCTGGTGGAAGCTCCAAACTCTCGCCGTAGAGCAGCCTCCAGCGACGCCACCGAGCTGGTGTCGTCTTCCGTCAGCGAGTCCATGATGCCGATCCTCGAGCCCAGGCCCAGCAACGCCTTACCGATCGCCTTTTTCTCATCTCCCACTTGCAGCCGGTACGCCTTCACTTTCCGCATGAAAGTATCAAGTTCCTCCCCTTCACCCCACACCACACGGCTGTCCCCATGTCCATCCATCGCGACTATCGCTGCCACCAGTGTGACGGTCCGCCCCACTCACCGGTCACTGTAGTACTGATGCTCCGCCGCCGCGCTGACCCGTGGGTCAGCTGATGTCCGACCCGTCCACCAGAGGCGCGCCAGTCGCCCATAGGCGCGCTCAGGTATCCCAGAACCCCACACAACACCACAAAACTATCGAGCGCAGGTATGTTGTAATGCAAGCAGCAAGATAAGCTTGTTTTTGCTTGGGAGGGTTTGTTAGGTACTATCGATATGACAACGTACCCTGACCTTGACCATATTTGATAAAATTTGGCGTCTGAAGCTCGTTTTTGCAACAGAAATCCAAACTTTTTGACTAAAACAAAATGTTAGTTCATACATTTTGATTTTCATCAAGTGAGGCACATTCTGTCACTCTATCGGGGCAGATTCGGTCACTGGCAGAACCTACCCCATCTGTTCAGATTTGTTGGGATTAGTGCATGCCGCCTTCTCACTTCTATCTGTAAGAATCTTGGCTGGCACCACAGTGTATATAAATAGCTGGCACCACGGCGGAGCCGAACCCCGGGCGGCCACCCTCGCCGCCCTGCCCAGGCTAGCCTCAGGGTATATTGAGTGAAAGGCTAGCCTATCCCCCGGGGGCCATGAACTTAGTAATTGGACGCTGCTTGTCATGTGGTGTACATTGCAGAGCCTGATATAATATGCCAACTGGATGCGGCAGACACCCCTTCCACCCATAGTCCCACACAAACTCAAACATTTTTTTTTTTTCAGAAAGAACATTTTAGACTGAGCATTCCTTCAGCGCACTTGTGCACTCGTGATAGGATCTACAAACATGCATCACCATTGGAAAACTTGCAATGGTGGGGATTGAAAAGCACAACCGCACTCATAAATTGGTGCGAAAGTTCCCAATAGTTAGGGTTCAAACTTCACACCCAAACCCCCTCCCCCTGGACCTATCCTCACCATCAAGTGCAGAAAGAAAAGCTGAGGAAGCAGGGAACACCATAATTCACAGATATACCTTAACAATACAGCGCTCAGGTGCAGGTCAAACTTCACCAAATCAAGATTGTGATAAAGGTGAAATCGGCCAGAAAACTGGCCAAATGATGGACGCAAAATGACATTTGTGGTCAGCGCGTCCCAAAGCCCCAGTAAACTACATCTGGGCAAATGCGCGAGGAAGCTCTCTTAAAACTTTCCACAGAACCTGGTGTCCAAAATTACTAGCCCACGGCCACGCCGTACTGGGACTGGGGTATTTCTATAACGCGCCCCACTGGGGAGGGCTATTCAAAGCCCCACCGTCTCTTAATTCCGAAACTACTGGGCTGATTTTCAAAATTAAAACGGGGCCTGATAGCACTGCAAAAACTTTGTTGTGGAACGTAATATTATTGACCTCGAGGTCACCGATGACGTCACATGTCAGTTCAAAGTAAAAATTATTAACGTTTGGGCTTGCTCACAACTTGGGCTCTGGCCGCCGGCTTACGAGAAAGATCAGGCTCCTATTTGGTTTACACGGTTGTGAATATATGCGTAAGATACCCTGAGGGTATCAATGTTGTACTGATTTTTCAGGTCAAGGCCAGGTCATCCTATACGCCACGGAAATTTAATATCATGTATCGGTCACCTGACACATGTTTTATGATCCACTTCGGCCATAAATTTCGAAATCAGTGTCTCTGTGTCATTTGAGGCCATTTCCAGCTGAATATAGCTGAGATCAGGTCACTTTCATGTAAAAAGGTCAAATTTTTAAGTTGAAATATGCTAGAGACAAAAAATTATTATAACAAGAAATTGTTAAATATAACAAGAAAGGTGTCCTTTAAATGCAGTCAGCAGTTTGAGTTCAGGAGCACGATGGTGCTATTTATTTTGGTGTACCATTTTGAAAACTTACTGAAAAATGGGTTTCAATTTTTGATAATGGTGAAATATTTACCACAAAACGCATAACTTAGCTTTTTTGAAGATGTAAAACTTCATAGACTGCTTCATCGGTATGTGTTCTACCACATGTATTCGTTTTTTTAAGTCGAAAAGTTATCAAATAATTTCAAGTGTTATGTCATTTTTTAATGTTTCGAAGCTTCGAAAATCCGAGATAGTATAGCTTGGTAGCCCTGTGTATTTTGAGTCCTATCATGCAAAGGAATTGGATCTAGCTTAAGAACAGTTCCTGAGAGACTGAGAGCCATTGTAGCATTTCAATGTTTTGCATCAAAATCGGTCGAACATGTTGTCTCTCTTACGTCATTTCTGGTCGATTCATGGTAGCTACGAAACTTTTGTCTTGACACAAGGTGTCAAATTAGTGCAGCCAAAGGTATCTGAAAGTTTCGTTTTGACACGTCTAGCGGTTTAGAAGATCTTACTTAAAAATGGGACTGGGCTCTGTAGAGCCCCCCCCCCCCCTCACAGTGGGGCGCGGGCTAGGTATGCATTGGTGCTAGATAGGCATGCTTTGACTAATGATCTGGTAAAGTCGTAAAATTTACTGATCGCTGATCCGCGGTACGAAAATAAAGAAAACAGCGAGCTCAGCTGGCTCGGCTTTCAATAAAACTCACAGGACCGTGAGCTGTGCCGTGGTGAAGACGGCTCCTCGTTGGCGGTGATAATTTTTTTTTTTTGTCAATGCTTTCACCACCCTAACAGCCAGATGAGCTAACTGTGGGTAACGAGTGTGATTGATTACGAATCTGATTGATTTTCTGCGCAATGTTGAACAGCTTTTCCGTGCGGCTTCGGCTTATCGGCCTGCGAAGACTCGCAGGTGTCGCTAGGAGCATTTGCGCTCAGGACCCTGGTTCCCGAATAATTTGGTTATTAGCAAGACTCCACTTGTCAGGTGGACGGCTTCGTTGAAAGCACATCAACACACTGACCGCTGAAGTACCTATGTAAAATGACCTTTTTTATTGAAGAGACAAACATTCGCTGGGCAGGTATTCATACCTAAACATAAGATGATGACTGAAGATGTACCTGATCATTTTGTTCTTAATGTTTTCAGGTTGTCTGAACTAGAATCGCGATTGAGACAAAGAAAGCTACCAAAACCGCAAGAAGAAACCGCTGAACAGGAGATCGAGGACATAAAGTCAACTCTCAAGGAGCACGAACAAACGCTGAAAAGGCTGCGCACCGAAAACCGCCGGTCGCTGGCTATGGTTGCCGTGTTTGTCGTGCTGTTTGGCTCCTTGTACGTGATGTTTACTCTCCTGCGACAGATGGGCTGGGTGTGATCGCTTCAATTCCATGGGACCTCCGGCACTGTGTGATTCGGATGATCAGTTGATGATTTAAAAGTTTAAGAGTGATTGTTATCTTTCAAGATAAGTCTGACTTGAGATCGTTCAGCTAGTGTATCCAAAACGTCTTTTCCGTTTTCATGAAGCTGATGGGAGTTTACATATTACGTTCCATCACCGCTATGCCATGCTTCGCGACGTGATCTCGCACCTATAATGAAGATAATTTTATTAATTTTGTGTCCGATTTTTGTTCTCAAGTGTTTGGAGAATGCGCATATTAGTTTGTCCAGGGTAACGTCTTCCCCGTGCTTATCACGACCGTTGCTCTGAAGTTGATCATTTGCAAACTTTCGTGATCTGCATTCTACAGTCTTTTTTGCTCAATATGCCTGTATGGTTACTAGCGAGCGAGCGCAGCGAGCGAAGTGAGTCTTTTCAATATAACGGAAAAATCTCAGTATGAGCGGCCCGGCCCGGCCCGGCCCGGCCTGTAACGCTTTTGAGAGGCTTATATCTCAGCAACCGCTGGACCGATTGGCCTGCGGTCTTTTTTGTTGGGTAGCCCCATCCCTTCTACCCCGTAATTGACTACTTTTGATACATCTCAGTGACCGTCGTGGCACGTGCCACGTGAAAAGTCAAGGGTGTTCAAGCTGTTTTGCAAAAGTAGTGATTTTGAGAGGCACATATCTTAGCAGCCGCTTGGGCGATTGGCTTGCGGTAATTTTTGTGGGGTAGCAGCATCCCTTCTACCAAAAATAGGGTACTCTCGATGCATGTGGGTCACCCCCAGTGCACGTGCAAAATACAACAATAAGAGGTGTCAAATTTGTTCCCATTTTAATAACTCGGTAATTACTGGGGCGATTTCGCTGAAACTTGGCATACAGGTAGGCACCCACCAGACAATGCATTCCCATGTGTTGCGGTTAAGGTGCTACTGCACGTGCGCACGTGCAGGGGGCGCTTCCTGATCTCGAGAACGGCTGGGCCGATTGCGCTCAAATTTGGTACACGGTTGGGGACCAGTTAGTAGGGTGCCGTGCAATAGTTAGTTTGGACCCCGTTTGCACGTGCGCACGTGCAGAATGCCGCTTCCAGATCTCAGGAACGGCTGGGCCGATTGCGTTCAAATTTGGTACACCGCTAGCGACCGGTTAGAAGGGTGCTTTGCGCAAGCCCGTTGGAAGTACCTTCTCGCCCTTCCGCACGTGCAGGGCTCACTATCTCGCTCGCTCGTTCTTCGCCCAAAAGGCGTTTTACTGGTAGTTATCTTTGTAAATAAATTTGTGGCTTCAAAGATTTATTACGAGCGAGCGAGCGCAGCGAGCGAAGCGTAGTCTTTTCAATATAACGGAAAAATCTCAGTATGAGCGGCCCGGCCCGGCCCGGCCCGGCCCTGCCTGTAACGCTTTTGAGAGGCTTATATCTCAGCAACCGCTGGACCGAATGGCCTGCGGTCTTTTTTTCTGGGTAGCCCCATCCCTTCTACCCCGTAACTGACTACTTTTGATACATGCCAGTGACCGCCGTGGCACGTGCCACGTGAAAAATCAAGGGTGTTCAAGCAGTTTTGCAAAAGTAATGATTTTGAGAGGCCCATATCTCAGCAGCGGCTTGAGCGATTGTCTTGCGGTCATTTTTATAGGGTAGCTGCATCCCTTCTACCAAAGGTCGGATACTCTTCATCTATGTGAGTGACCCCCACTGCACGTGCAAAATACAACAATAAGAGGTGCCAAATTTGTTCCCATTTCAGTAACTCGGTAATTACTGGGGCGATTTCGCTGAAACTTGGCATACAGGTAGGCACCCACCAGGCAATGCATTCCCATGTGTTGCGGTTAGGGTGCTACTGCACGTGCGCACGTGCAGGGGGCGTTTCCAGATCTCGAGAACGGCTGGGCCGATTGCGCTCAAATTTGGTACATGGTTGGGGACCGCCCAGTAAACATGCCGACGTCGGCCCGACGTCGGGGTGACGTCGGCAACTCGGCATCGGCATGCCGACGTCGGCCCGACGTCGGTCCAACCTCGGCACGACGTCGGCTGGATGTCGGATATGCCCGCATGTTCCGACGTCCAGCCGAAGTCCAGCCGACGTCGGGCCGACGTCGGACCGAGATCAATTGCTGAGGTCCAGCCGACGTCGGGCCGACGTCGGACCGACATTGGCCGCTGTTTTGACCGTTAAAATAATATAAAATACATGTTTCATGTTTCATAAAGAGCTTCTGTATTCAAAATATCCTCAGGAAACTCAAATCTTCCTCCACGCCGCAACCCCCTGATCCGGACTGGACGGGAAACTTTATTCCATTTGGGATTGCCCGTAAGCCGAGCTCGCCAGTAGCCGGGTGCGGTGAGTGCTCGGGGGCTCCTCGGCCTATCCTTTGGTCAGGCTCAGCCCCGGCAACTCACCAGGGCCGGGCCCAGTTCATATAGAAAGGCCAGTCGGCAAGTGTCACTTTGCCAAAGTGCCACTTATCAAAGGGACACTTTGGGAAGCGTCGGTGCAGGTGTGTAAGAGTGGCTATATGAATCCATAGTGGGGTCGCCCTTTCCAATAAGTGTCACGTAACAGCAATGGGACCAGGGACTCTATATGAACTGGACCCAGGGTGCTCGCCAAGAAGACCAATGTCTCCATCCTATGATCCTTCCGGCTCTGAAATGGTCTTGTCAGACCGAAAGGGCATAACCCAACAAAACAAACCGAGTTCGTTAGCTGGCTGCGTGGTGTAGTAGTTAGCGCACTACCCTCGCGTTCGAATGACACGGAGTTCGAATCCCATCGCCGGCTGATGCTTTTGGCGTGTTGTCCCGGTAAACATGCCGACGTCGGCGACTGGGGGCTCGAATCCCGCCGCCGGTTGATATTTTTGGCGCGTTGTCCCAATAAACATGCCGACGTCGGCCCCGTCGGTCCAACGACAAACGATCTCGTCAACCTCGGCAAACGATCTCGGCCCGACGTCGGCTCGACGTCGGCTGGACTTCGGCTGGACGTCGGAACATGCGGGCATATCCGACGTCCAGCCGATGTCGGGCCGAGGTGGAACCGACGTTGGGCCGACGTCGGGCCGAGCCTCGGACCGACGTCGTCATGTTTACTGGGCGGTTAGTAGGATGCCGTGCAAAAGTCGTTTTGGACCCCGTTTGCACGTGCGCACGTGCAGAATGCCGCTTCCAGATCTCAGGAACGGCTGGGCCAATTGCGTTCAAATTTGGTACACCGCTAGCGACCGGTTAGAAGGGTGCTTTGCACAAGCCCGTTGGAAGTACCCTTTCGCCCTTCTGCACGTGCACTGTGCAGGGCTCACTATCTCGCTCGCTCGTTCTTCGCCCTAAAGGCGTTTTACTGGTAAGTAGCATATTAAAGGGACCCTCCCACCTTAACATAAGTTTTGAGTTGAGATAGCCAAATTGGTGGCCATGGCCTGAAAATACCGGTTTGGGCACTCACAACATCGAAAAATGCTTTAATTCGGAGATATGGAATTTCAAACTTGCAGTTTTCGGATTCTAAGGGGCTAATGCATTGGTATGCCCCCTTAGAATTTGTGACGTCAGCGGAGGTCTAACGATTTTTAAATCTTTTACTAAAACGTTTGGTAGCACGCGGTGGTATATGCTGCTTTGCGCGCAACAAATGCCGCACTTTCAAATAAAGTCGCTAGGAACAGCGGAGATCCCAGAAAGTAAACAATAGTAAAAGTCTAATATCTTGAAAACCAGTGAATATTTTTCGATGAAATTTGGTAGATATTCGTTTTCGCTCTTCCTGAACCGAGCGACATCACTTTCATGCCAATTCATTAACTTTTTTGAAGGTGGGAGCCGGGAGGGTCCCTTTAAGGATGGCAGTCAGCAGGGTAGCTATAGTCTGTTCCATATCAAGCTTGCAGTCGGAGTTTCTTCGGCAGATCGCTCCTCCGCTCGAATTTGCGTCTTAAAATGCAAGAGCTGTATATACAGAAATCACGCACTGCCTTCAGCAGGGCACTTAGGCTGCAAACTTGAAACGGAACAGAGTATAGGAGAGCTTTAATCCAAAATTAAGAGAACTATGATTTGTTAGAGACTATCCCGGTGAGAGTGAGATGGCTTAGTATGCACCTGGCCTTGCCTAAAAACGACACACACAGACACACATATAACAATAATTCGGTAAATCTCAATACTACGCTGTTGGCTGTCAGGCGGTCTGCCAGCCATACGGGGTTGCGATACGGGGCGCAAACACCATACCGAGCTATCGGTCACGGACGTATCAGCATCCCCGTCCTTGTTATCATCACAACACATTGCCTCATATCAGTGCATCGAGCTGTATCTGAAGCGCCAGCAACGTGCGATCTACGTCAGCCGTTGCCAACGCATCACCACTGCGACTGTCGGTGTGCTGGGCCGTCGGGTAACAGGAAACTACAGAACTCCGCCTGTTGTTTATCAAGAGGCTTCCGTGATAAATCACGGCACCCTCCTGAACCACGGCTGCATTGTCGTGAAGTCCTGACCGTCCAGTCTTCAGATTAAGGGCGGCAGCAGGCAGTGACAGGTGCACATCAGTGGTCAATGATGCAGGTCTTGAGGTCGTCTGGTTGAGCTGAAGAATCGAAGGAAAGTTTTCGGTCGACAGCCGGCAAGACCGGCACAAAAGTGGCAACATGGGTCAGAGCCAGGCAAGGCTACGTGAACCGGTCCAGGTGAGAAAGGCGAGGGCGCCGTGGGGGAGTCGAAAGAGTGCTGTCAGGGAGTTTCAGGAGCGCCGTTGTCAGGGAGTAACGGTAAACGGGAATTTCATTATTTGGGAGATTTAAATTCACTGAAAGAGCCGCCAGGAATTGGTTGGGGGCGAGAGCGTCACGCTCAACCATAGTTCATAGGTAGATAGCTGTTGTTGAACGTAGGTAGTTGTTTTTGAACCGACACTCATTGTTCGGGGCTCCAATGAGTCATTCACACAGCAAACACACAACTAGCAACTAGCAAGAGCAAAAACCGTGTGAGAACCGTGGCACGTAGCATCACCAAATTTCTGACACAACTTGGGGCAATCATTTGACACATGTTCTAAAAGTTTTCAGTTCCAGTGATCTCAGGTCAGGTCCTGAGCTCTCAAAAACCGGTACATGGTCAAAATAACACTGAAAATACACTATTTTGTCAATGAAATCTAGCTAGTTGTTCATCGCTTTCATTCAAACTGGCAGGATATGCTAAGTTCAATCCCGGTTTTTTCAGATTCGGGTGGCCAAGGTCATCTAGAGGGGTGAGACTAAATGCTTACTTCGAAATCTAAGCTGTGTTGCGGCATTGGCGGTTATGTGCGGCGTGTATGCCGCATGATTAGTAAGCGGCGACCACTAAATTAAAGACTTAAACGCTCCAACCTGTTTTCAATGAATAACACTGCATACCAAAAATGCCAATCGCTCTCGTCGTAAGATATTTAGATTTAAATAACTAATTTGTCTGCATCATCATTTTGAACCAAATTAATGCTTTCAACTTAGTACTCACTCACTCCTTCCTTCGTTGGCTCCAAACAGTACTTCGATTGTCTGGAAATCGTATGCCAAATCCCGCACCTGTATACCTACGACTGGTGCATATAAAGGCCGATGTAAGAATTTCAATAGGCTCTCGCATGCGATTTCCTGGCTACCCAAAAAGTATGTTTCAGTCATGCTATCAAAACATGGTATGTCAGCCCTCTCACCAGCTTGTAGTGCCCCTGACCGTCATTAAAAGCCTAGTTTCCCTCCATCATCTCTACTAGATTTAGGTGATGCTCCGACAAATTCACAAACAAGACCGAACTTGTTCGGAGTTCGGACTGTGAGTTAACCCTCGCCCTTTAGGGGGGGGGGGGGTCGAACGGACTCCCCTCGGTTTTTCGCAAATAACTCGCGTAAAAAGCGGCCGATCACGACGTAACTTTGAGTACCCTCGCGTTGATCAATTTTACACCTACCCTGAAAATTTCATGACGCTGACGCAAATAACCTTTGACCTGTGACCTACTTTTCGAGACCATGTTTGGCCGGAACCGCGATTCAGCGTATGTCGGCTTGCATTAGCAGCGCGTTTGCAGTCTTTTCGTGGTTTCAAGCGTTCAAACATGTGATATGATGTTGCCCCCATGCATTAGGGTGGGTGTCAAGGTCACCTGAAGGTCAGGTCAGGTCATTGACCTTTGGTGACCTCGGTTCACTTTTCGAGTTTGACATGTTTCTAGGCCAGTTTTTTCGAGCTGAATTCGAATTAAGCAACCACATGAACGTTTACAAAGTAGTTTTGGTGCCTTCGTAACATGTTACGAGGCTGTCAGAGGCGGTTGACACCTACTACAAATACCTGGCAGGACCTCTACTGGTTGACCTGACCTGACCTAACCCGGCCTGGCCTAAATGAATGAAGACATCATCTGTGATAAAAACTAGCATGATATTCGTGATCAGCACCCCGAAAACCCCATAGCAGCCACACTACGACGTTCTAACAGGTCCCAATTTTCCCGCCTTTTGGGTCATTGACCTGACCTACCTGGAAGGTCAACCGATGACCTAGGACCTTAAAATTGGGTATCATCGGCTTTCTCTCGTCACGGGCAACACGCTCGTTTTTTCCGCGAAGCTCTAGCTTGATCAGGAGCGAAACGGCAAGGGGTTATAGGTACCTTATACGTTCGCGGCTGGAAAAACACCAATACGGGCGAGGGTTAGGTTGACAGTATTAATTTGGTTCAAAACAATGATGTAGATAAGTTAGTTATTTAAATCTAAATATCCTATGACGAGAGCGATGGACATTTTTGGTATGCAGTGTTATCCATTGAAAACAGGTCAAAGCTATTGAGTTTTTAATTTAGTGGTCGCCGCTTACTAATCATGCGGCATACACGCCGCACATAACCGCCAATGCCGCAACGCAGCTTAGATTTCGAAATAAGCATTTCGTCTCACCCATCTAGAGGTTACTACAAATTCTGATAAATTTTGGCCGAATGGCTCAAATTGTAAAATATGCTCTATTTCAACGTGTTAACGTGATTAATTTAAGTTCATTTAGTATTTTCATAGTAAAACTAGGTGTCCAGCATTACGCGCAGCGTAATGAATCAATTTTCATTAAAATCGGCCAAGTAGCGGCCGAGTTATTGCCAGAATAAATTGGTGACTCCTCCTGGCCGGCGGTGCTCTGTTCCGGTATTCATTGCCAAAGGTCAGTGACCCGCCGGCTCTGATTTCGCTCAGTTTTGCAAGCGAAGAAACTGAGCCTACGGCACGTGCTCACTGCTCGGCGCCGGCCGCGGCCCAAAATCCCGCAAAGATGCGCCCGCCACGTGCAAACCGGCGAGCGCACCCCCACCAAAATTTAATACGACAAATGGTTGCACGCGTCCGACTCGGCGCGAAAATTTCACCCCCGTAGCCCGCACCGTTCCACAGCAATAGCCCGCCACGTGCACAGATGCGCCCGCCACGTGCAAACCGGCGAGCGCACCCCCACCAAAATTTAATACGACAAATGGTTGCACGCGTCCGACTCGGCGCGAAAATTTCACCCCCGTAGCCCGCACCGTTCCACAGCAATAGCCCGCCAAGCGTGACTGACGCGTTACATACAGACATTTTGATTTTTATATATGTAAGTAGAGGGACAGCATTACGCGCAGTGTAATAAATCAATTTTCATTAAAATCGGCCCAGTAACGGCCGAATAATTGCAAGAATAAATTTGGCGTCTCCTCTTGGCCGGCGGTGCCCTGTTCAGGTATTCATTGCGAAAGGTCAGTGACCTGCCGGCTCTGATTTCGCTCAGTTTTGCAAGCGAAGAAACTGAGCCTACGGCACGTGCTCACTGCTCGGCGCCGGCCGCGGCCCAAAATGCTGCAAAGATGCGCTCGCCACGTGCACACCGTTGCACACACCCCCTCGAAAAGTTGATACGACAAACAGATGCACGCGTCCGACTTACGTCGAAAATTTCACCCCCGTAGCCCGCACCGTTCCGGAGCGATAGCCCGCCAAGCGTGACTGACGCGTTACATACGTACAGACATTTTGATTTTTATGTCCCGGCTCTGTACCGGGACAGCATTACGCGCAGCGTAATAAACCAAATTTCATTGCAATCGGCCCAGTAGCGGCCGAGTTATGGCCAGAATAAATTTGGCGTCTCCTCCTGGCCGGCGGTGCCCTGTTCCGGTGTTCATTGCCAAAGGTCAGTGACCTGCCGGCTCTTGTTTCGCTAAGTTTTGCAAGCGGAGAAACTGAGCCTAAGGCGCGTACCGTCTGATCGGCGCCGGCCGCGGCCCAAAATGCCGCAAAGATGCGCCCGCCACGTGCAAACCGCCGAGCGCACCCCCACCAAAATTTAATACGACAAATGGTTGCACGCACCCGACCCGGCGCCAAAGTTTCACCCCCGCAACCCGCACCGTCTCTGCGCAATAGCCCGCCAAGCGTGACTGACGCGTTTCATACATACGGACGTTTTGATTTTTATAAGTGTAACTAGAGAGACGGCATTACGCGCAGCGTAATAAATCAAGTTTCAATAAAATCGGCCCAATAGCGGCCGAGTTATTGCCAGAATAAATTTGGTGACTCCTCTTGGCCGGTGGTGCTCTGTTCCGGTATTCATTGCCAAAGGTCATTGACCTGCCGGCTCTGATTTCGCTCAGTTTGGCAAGCGAAGAAACTGAGCCTAATGCGCGTGCTCTCTGATCGGCGCCGGCCGCGGCCAAAATTCCGCAAAGATGCGCCCGCCACGTGCACACCGCTGAACCCACCCCCTCCAAAATTTAATACAACAAACAGATGCACGCGTCCGACTTACGTCGAAAATTTCACCCCCGTAGTCCGCACCGTTCCGGAGCAATAGCCCGCCAAGCGTGACTGACGCGTTACATACATACATACATACGGACATTTTGATTTTTATATATGTAACTAGACGGACAGCATTACGCGCAGCGTAATAAATTAATTTTCTTTAAAATCGGCCCAGTAGCGGCCGAGTTATTGCCAGAATAAATTTGGCGTCTCCTCTTGGCCGGCGGTGCCCTGTTCCGGTATTCATTGCCAAAGGTCAGTGACCTTCCGGCTCTGATTTCGCTCAGTTTTGCAAGCGAAGAAACTGAGCCTACGGCGCGTGCTCTCTGCTCGAAGCCGGCCGCGGCCCAAAATGCGGCAAAGATGCGCCCGCCACGTGCAAACCGGCGAGCGCACCCCCACCAAAATTTAATACGACAAACAGATGCACGCGTCCGACTTACGTTCAAAATTTCACCCCCGTAGCCCGCACCGTTCCGGAGCAATAGCCCGCCAAGCGTGACTGACGCGTTACATACATACATACATACGTACAGACATTTTGATTTTTATATATGGGAATAACTAGGTGTCCAGCATCACGCGCAGCGTAATGAATCAATTTTCAATAAAATCGGCCCAGTAGTGGCCGAGTTATGGCCAGAATAAATGTTGCGTCTCCTCTTGGCCGGCGGTGCTGTGTTCCGGTATTCATTGCCAAAGGTCAACGACCTTCCGGCTCAGATTTCGCTCAGTTTTGCAAGCGAAGAAACTGAGCCTAAGGCGCGTGCTCTCTGATCGGCGTCGGCCGCGGCCCAAAATTCCGCAAAGATGCGCCCGCCACGTGCACACCGCTGCACGCACCCTCTCGAAAAGTTGATACGACAAACAGATGCACGCGTCCGACTTACGCCGAAAATTTCACCCCCGTAGCTCGCACACTTCCACAGCAATAGCCCGCCAAGCGTGACTGACGCGTCACATACATACATACATACATACATACATACATACATACATACATACATACATACATACATACATACATACATACATTTGATTTTTACATATGTAACTAGAGGGACAGCATTACGCGCAGCGTAATAAATCAGTTTTCATTAAAATCGACCCAGTAGCGGCCGAGTTATTGCCAGAATAAATTTGGCGTCTCCTCCTGGCCGGCGGTGCCCTGTTCCTGTATTCATTGCCAAAGGTCAGTGACCTTCCGGCTCTGATTTCGTTCAGTTTTGCAAGCGAAGAAACTTAGGCTAATGCGCGTGCTCTCTGCTCGGCGCCGGCCGCGGCCCAAAATCCCGCAAAGATGCGCCCGCCACGTGCACACCGTTGCACGCACCTCCTCGAGAAGTTGATACGACAAACAGATGCACGCGTCTGACTTGCGCCCAAAATTCCATCCCCGCAGCCCGCACCGTTCGGGAGCAATAGCCCGCCAAGCGTGACTGACGCGTTACATATGTTACAGGCAATATGTGGAATCAGGCATTCTATAGAATGCCTGACCGACCAGGCATTCTATAGAATCCCTAGGTATTCTATAGAATGCCTGACCCACCAGGGATTCTATAGAATCCCTAGGCATTCTAAAGAATGCCTGATTTTCAGGCATTCTATAGAATGCCTAGGAAATACACGAATCTTTCCAACATATAAGTGTATGTTGTATAAGATTATGAGCACAGACCGACATGTACCATTATTATTTTCTGCCAAGCTACCTTGCGTTCAGCTATTTATGTTCATTCAGTCAAATGTTCATTCAGTCAAATTTTCCGGTCAGGTAATCTGACCTTATTAGGTCAAATTGTATCAGGATTTCATTCTGAGAGTACAGAGTATTTATATTAACGCTAGAAAGACGATGGTGGTAATGTCAATATCGGAAACGCCTTTGGTAAAAAAAAAATTACACAGAAAAATTGACAAATCGTCCATTTTTGGAGGTGTTTGCCTTCTAAGGAATTGATTTAAGGTCAAACTGGAGAAAACGGCTACGAGCCAAAAATGGACAAAAATTGGGCTGACCTAAAAAATGGCTTAGCTATTTGTTTTAGAAATGGCACCCTTTCGAACATTGCCAAAGAAGAACTGAAGTAAAATTTCATAATTTTGAGTCTTTGACGACCTTTCGAATACCGCATGGCCCAGAAGTCAAGCTGGAAGGAGAGATCGAACAACACCTAATCCGGCTCTTGTTACGGCCGGGCCACCGCCCAGACGTGGAATAATGAACCATTTATTCAGGTTATTCCCTGACATTACGGTGTAGGTTGAGCTGTCCATGTATGTATATTGAGAGTCGTTACACGAAGTGCTTATGACGACATAAAATGTGACCTTTGGTGTATTTTTCACCTTCATTTCTAACATCAGAACAAAGCCATCGTCATTCGCAATCACTTTCGATTCAAGCCTACGGTCCACTCTCCCAGCCAACACTCTTCTAATGCAGCTTCGTATCTGTAGCAGCATAATCCTCCGAGGGTAACCGTTTAAGCGACTGGTTGGCCTGTGACTCTCCCGCGTGCCTTGCGCCGTGGCTCTCCCGTGCCAACGGAATTGGATCAGCTGCTGCTTGCGGCGCACCATTTGGTGGTCGGCATAGCCCAATACCTCCCTCGCTTCCTCTCAGCTCATTGCCCTGAAATGGTGTGAGGTGACGACCGGCCTAGGCCAACAATGAAAATTAGGTAAACAAATAGCATTACTGCCACTGACCCCTAATTTTCGAAGTGTGTTTTGGACAATCAAAATACTTAGGCATTCTATAGAATGCCTGGGAGCCTAAGCCAGGCATTCTATAGAATGCCTAAGCAGTCAGGGATTCTATAGAATACCTAGGGATTCTATAGAATGCCTGGTCGGTCAGGCATTCTATAGAATGCCTAGGCATTCTATAGAATGCCTGATTCCACACATTGCATGTAACACATACATACATACATACGTACAGACATTTTGATTTTTATATAAGTAAATATTAAGTTACTTACACTGGTTTAAGTATAGGCCATTCTATGCGCTTTGACGTGCTGAGTTCACTGGTGCTTTTATTTTTGCTCTTACCAGATCAAAAGTTATAGGCGAAAAACTTTTATACTGGTAAAGCGAAATTTTTACATTCCGCCCCCCCCCAAACCCCCTAAACATTGACCTAGAGTCGCCAAATTTGCACAGGGGCGATATCTCCTATGGGCCCACCTACCCTGTAAATTTGGTGTTTCAAAGTGCCATAGGAGCCAATCACCATAGGAGCCAATCGTACCAACTCCTCCCCTCGCCGTTCGCGTTATGAAGAATGCCCTCGTCTGGCGAGGGTTTAAGCTTCCCAGCATGAAGTAGATGTACTTAAAAAAAAAAACAGTCGCGACTATATGAAATGTGAATTAACCGATTTCCTATCCTTTCAGACCTGTGCCATGGGGAAGCACATAGTCAAAGAAAATGACACCGGAGGCTTCATGCTTTGTTCGGACACCCTGGAGAGCGTCCTTGGGACAGAACACGCCGATAAACCCGTGATAGTAATATCAGTAACGGGTACAACCGACCCCGGCAAGACAATGCTTTTTGACATGATGTTACGGCATCTCGATCCATCCAGAAGGAGCACCGACGATCGTGGCGGCTCTACGAGAGGAAGGGACTACCGTCCATCACGCAAAAGCGGCATCGAGTTGTGGTCGCACCTGTTTCCCGTGACGCTACCCACCGGGGAGGAGGCCGTCATTGCGCTCATGGACACCCAGGGCGCCGCTGATGACGCGCCGCGGTCGCAGGCGGTGCAGTTCCTCGCCACTCTTCTCAGCTCGCTGCAGATCTTCAACGTCGTGGACGACTTGAGTGACGATGTTTTGGAGCAGCTGAAGCAGTCCATAGAGTTTGGTCAGGCGCTGTCGAAGAGTACCGACACCCCGGCCTTCCAGAAGCTCATGTTTCTTGTGCACCATTGGAAGGCGACAGACGAATTTCCACTCGGCGCTGCTGGGGGTGGGCACCTTGTGACGAAATGGCTCCAGAGCGAGAGGTCAGATGAGCAGATCGAGATGGTGCGCCAGCATATCGGTGACTGCTTCAGTGACATTCAAGGATTCCTCCTGCCGCTTGGCCCACTTCGCAACGGAGTCTCTCGTCCTCCTTCCATTTTCAATTTGTCTGAAGTACTTTCGGATTTTCTTTACATGGAATTATTCTCTGGACTTTTCAACCAACTCATGGCATTACACCCCAAATACTGGGAGCTGAACCAAGAGGCTCTGGCGCCAGAGAATCTAGCTATCAAGGTTGTCGCGGGCGAGCGCCTCACCGCTGGCGACCTGTGCAGGCTCATCACCAAGTATGTCGAACTGTTCTCCAGCGAGGAGCCGCCGAAGCCGGAGGACGTGGTGTACGCGACGATCGCTTCTCTGTATCCCGCAGTACAGGCCGCCAAAGAACAATATGTAGAGGCGATGGCGAGTGTGTTTCGCGAGGGTCAGCCCGCGTTGAATGACGACGAGCTGATGAGACAACACAAGGAAGCCGCAGCGAAGGCAGAGGCAACCTTCCACGCACAGAAAAAGACGGGAAACGACTCTCTGGTACAGAACGGCCTGAAGATACTGATGAAGGACATTGAAAAGTGCTTTGATGATATTGATCATGAGAACACTGGCAAACGCAAGAAGGAGGAACAGGCAGCTGAAAAGCAGAAGAATGAAGGGAGCCAGCAGTACATCATAGAGCTGGTAAAGACCTGTACGGAGATGTACATCAACGCGATGAAAGCTGTTGCCGACGTCGACGGCTTCGTTACTCGTGACAATTTAAGAAGGGCTCACGCCACCGCCAAGGAGAATGCGATGAATAAGTTCGACGTCAGGAGCAAAAACCATACAGTAGAGTGGGACAGTCGCTTTAAGTTGACATGTGTCATCGGTGCACGCTTTCGCCTGATTCAGCACCACAACGAGGTCATGAAAGACGCTAAGAATCGACAAGCCGTACGTGGCAACATGAAGGCCGTGGAAGTGGCTCTCAAAACCTACCGAACTGTGATGAGCTCGACGATCTCTGGGGAAGGCATGAACGACGACGGCCTTATGGGCCAGCATAACCGGTCACTCGGGGCAGCCGTCGAAATTGTCAAATCGCTTCATGAAGGGGATGAAGATACGGCTGAAAAATACGTGCAGGAACTCAAGACGCTCATCGGTGAGGAGTTCGCTATGATCAGATACAGTCACAAATCATAGAAACCCAAAGCAAGCAGGAGCCAACCGCTATGTGTGATAGAGTGAGTGTTGCACAATTTGCCACCACGAGCTGGTCGTGAACTAATTGTATGACTGTGCGGTGGTAGGCAGTTTGAACTTTGAAGGCCCACTGGTGTGGCTGTGACAGTATTTGTACCGGCAGCAGCGCGGCGTCCGAGGAACGTGTCAGCGACGTCGGGCGTAGGCACAACTGAGGGCAGGAGAGATCGCAGAAGACGGACGATGGTGACGCCATGGCGGACGCACGGGGGCGATAGCTTGCAAAAGTGATCGTGGTGTGGTATGGCATGGCTGCGATGGTAGTGGGAGTCAACCGGCGCGTGTGGCGCCGTCTTCAGCTTGAGCTGCTGCTTTTACCTATATTTCACTCTTCAAATCCAAGAACAAGGATGGATGACAGGCTTTAATTTTATGGTTTGCTATAGGATGCATTTGCAATGTGCGTTGTGTATTTTACATATAATTATTAGCAATTAGCATGGAGGATTTTGTGTTATCATACGGATCGAGATTGTAGTTCATGTAGGTATACTGTGATAATGTGTGCTTAGATGGAATGTGAATAAAGTTAAGGCCAACAAAGTTGACCGAAGAGTATACTTCCCTACCAACGTATGGTGTGCTTGCATTTAGGTACACCTCGCTCTCCCGTTGTCATGACTCATGACTATCTGGTGCTGGTTTCTGATTCTAGTGCAGCCTTTGGGTTAGTCGTGAATCGTGACGTGATTCCCGGTGCGTCCTTTCTCCCCCCCCCTGGGTCACCGATTGCTCAATTATGTACAGTGAACCTATTTTGCGCCGCCATTCAACTCTTTCTGGACCGCCTCATTAAAGCCATGTTCTCAGATCCTGTCACTTAACCTTCCAGGTGGTGGAGGGGCTTTTTTTTTGCCACCCTCCCTTAAGTTTTTTTTCGATATATCTCGAGAACCGCTGCGCCGATCGTCACTTAACTTTCAGTACCCTCCCGTGAATAGCTATTGCACATTGTGACCAAAAATTTTCCAAAGGCTATGATAGGTTGGCCGCTAATGACGTCATAGTGACGTCATTAGCGGCCAACAACAAATAGTGACGTCATTTTTGCCAGTTTCGACAAAAAAAAAGGTTTCGCGGGAAGAGCTGTCAGGCCTACAGCTTTAGAGATACATCTAAATGTTTCGACATAAGAGGTGTAGAATTAGGAGGGCTACAACACTGCTATCTCGGATTTTTGAATTTTTTGGATTTTGACCCCCAAAAATAAAAAAGATTTTTTTAATATAATAGCCGAAAAATCCAAAAAGTTTTTTTTTTATTTTCGAAAAAACGGAATATATGTGATAGTACCTACCTACCACGTTCTATCTGTATACCGAATTTGAGATCGATACCTCTTTTTTTGGCCAAGTTATAGCGAAAAAAACTGTTCAAAATTGATGACGTCAAATTTTCTAACTCAATTTTTAGCAGTTCTAGACCTCGTAGCGCAAAACAAAGACCAACATTAGACTCCCCGTGACGAGCTGCATTGAATCAATACCCATTTTATGCAAAAATATCACTTTGAAATTTGACCTTTTTGACCTGACCTTGACCTGATCTCCACCAGAAAGTGACCTTAATCGTACCTGATGGTCTTATTACCAACACCATTGAGTTGGAAATGAAAAACTGGCCATAAAATATGCATCGCACAACCTTAGTAAAGTTGGGTTTATGTGGTGACCCTTGGTGACCTTTGGTGACCTGACCTGTGACCTGACCTGGTATGACCAGTGACCTCTAATAGCAACATATGTTCTAGACAACTGACGCCCTATCACTGATTTTCGACAAAATGCGTTTTACTCGGTGTTATAGCGCTTTCCCTAGAAGCCGCTTTCCCTACGACTTTTAAACTCGACATGTGACTAGCGTTTTGGTATTTTAGTACAATGTGTATGCGTGTGTGTGCTTGTGTTTTATATGTTTTAACTATTGTCATTGACTAGAAGCTGACACTAATCCATCATTGGAATGCTTCGCTAATACAATATACAATATACAATACAAGCCCAGTGAGCGGTGAAACATTTTATCTTTGACCTGACCTGTGACGTCATCGGTGACCCCGAGGTCAATGAAATTTAATTTCCTTCGACAAATTTGACAGGGCTATCGAACGCCGTTTGAATTTTCCGGATCCGTCCAGTAGTTTGGAGATACGGGGGGGGGGGCAAAAAAATGCCCCCCCCCCCCCCACCGCGCGGAAGGTGGCCGGGAGGCCCACCGCGCGGAAGGTGGCCGGGAGGCCCACCGCCTGCCGGGTTAATTCAACAGCTTCACTTTACAGAGCACATTGCGATCAACATGACACGGATCGATTTGTTCTATACGAATGTTTAGTTAGCTGTTTTGAAGTTGGTGATTTTGTGAGACTTCGATGACGTTGAAAGATCGTACAAAATATGCTCATCTCAAACACGGCATTTCTCAGCCGATCAAGATGAAACAGCACCAATCAATTTATCATTTGCGGTAGGTCACCGTAAGTCAACTTAACCCGGCAGGCGGTGGGCCTACCAGCCACCTTCCGCGCGGTGTGGGGGGCATTTTTTGCCCCCCCCCCCGTATCTCCGAAACTACTGGACGGATCCGGAAAATTCAAACGGCGTTCGATAGCCCTGTCAAATTTGTCGAAGGAAACCAAATTTCATTGACCTCGGGGTCACCGATGACGTCACAGGTCAGGTCAAAGATAAAATGTTTCACCGTTCACGGGGCTTCTAGGGAAAGCGCTATAACACCGAGTAAAACGCATTTTGTCGAAAATCAGTGATAAGGCGTCAGTTTTCTAGTACATATGTTGCTATTAGAGGTCACTGGTTATACCAGGTCAGGTCACAGGTCAGGTCACCAAAGGTCACCAAGGGTCACCACATGAGCCCAACTTTACTAAGGTTATGCGATGCATGTTTTATGGCCAGTTTTTCATTTCCAACTCAATGGTGTTGGTTATAAGACCATCAGGTACGGTTTAGGTCACTTTCTGGTGGAGGTCAGGTCAAGGTCAGGTCAAAAAGGTCAAATTTCAAAGTTGATATTTTTGCATAAAATGGGTACCTATCGATTCGATGCAGCTCGTCACGGGGAGTCTAATGGTGGTCTTTGTTTTGCGCTACGAGGTGTAGAATTGCTAAAAAATTGAGTTTGAAAATTTGACGTCATCAATTTTGAACAGTTTTTTCGCTATAACTTGGCCAAAAAAAAGAGGTATCGATCTCAAATTTGGTATGTAGATAGAAGGCGGTAGGGACTATCACATATATTCCGGGTTTTTTTCGAAATTCAAAAACTTTTTGAATTGTTTGGCTATTATATTCTAAAAATCTATTTTTTTTATTTTTGGGGTCAAAATAAAAAAAAAATTGAAAAACCGAAACAGCAGTTTTGTAGCTCTTTTGATTCCACACCTTTTATGTCTGAAACATTTTTCTGTACCTCTAAAGCTGTAGGCCTGACAGGTCTTCCCGCGTAACCTTTTTTTGGGTCGAAAATGGCAAAAATGACGTCACTCTGACGTCATTAGCGGCCAACCTATCATAGCCTTTGGAAAAAATTTTGGTTACCATGTGCGGTAGCTGCTCCCGGGAGGGTACTGAAAGTTTGGTGACGATCGGCGCAGCGGTTCTCGAGATATATTGAAAAAAACTAAAGGGGGGGGGGGCAAAAAAAATAAAAATGTCCCCCCCACCGCCTGGAAGGTTAAAAACCTTTTCACAACTGGTTATTATCCAAAGGCGAACATCAATGAAATAGCTTAAGTGTGACATACCTACTGGGGCTGGGCCGGGGCCTTATACGTTAACCCGCGCCCCGTAGGGCTACCGGCGGACCCTACCACCCCACTATGGTTGGAAACGGCCTCACGGATGGCCGTGGGCAATTTCGGAATATATGTATATTTGGGGTGTCATTCTGTTGGAAATTGATGAAATGTTTTGAATTGGGCAGAAAAAATTATTTAGTTGCGCATTTAGTCTCCATTATCGTACGTGGAATCGGGAGTTTCTGATAGTGGCTTTTTTGGTGCGCCGTCAAAGGTTTAAACAACCGCGCTGGTGATAGCATGTTGAGTACCTCCATGACGTTGTAAAACTGGATTATTATATATCAAAATAATCCTTGTTATGTTTGCTATCGAGTGGAGTGACTCTTTTTCCCATGCGTGTTCAAAATCAGGAACGGCATTGCATTCTGTTTGCAGTGTCACCACAGCAATATTTGCAAAATTACGTTTATGTTTCATTGGACATACAAAAAGTTCTCCATCGACCTCCATTGAGCTTTTTGGCAGAATAAATCTCTGTTCAATTCTGCGTAAGGGGAACGTAAAAGCAGACTGCGCACTTGTGCGCAAAATCGTCGGTGAAGCTTCATCTCCCGAGGCGTACCTACCCGTCGCTTCGTTAGCACCAGGTCGGCTCGTCAGTCTTGCAATCGCTTATCCTAATAAATGATGGTAAGAAGCAGGGTTGCGGAGTCGTGGTGGCGCCAAATCCGACTCCGACTACGACTCCGACTCCTGACTCGTTGCCATGACTCCGGCCGACTCTGTCTCCGACTCCGGACCCCTGCCAGTGTTTCGGAGTCGTGATGGAGCTGTTCCGATTCGGACCGACTCCGACTTCCACTGCGGGCTCCTGACCGACCCCGACTCCGACTCCGACTCCTGGCTCGTTGCCACGACTCTGGGCGACTCTGACTCCGACTCCGACTCTGACTCCGACTCTGACTTCGACTCCGCTCCCCTCGTAAGAAGTAACTGCTCGCCCCTGCACCTGGAGTATGGATATCGTGCAAACGTGTATGGATATCCTGGAGTATGGATATGGATATCCACCGACAGAGCAGACATACAGACATGCTGTAAACGCCATTACACTGCCAATACCATGGCAAATCAAATGGCTATCTATGGCTTTTGATCATCGTTCTACATTTTCCAAAATCTTGAACTGAATGTTGGCAATTTCTCGTGACTACTTCACGACCATGATGCATGCATTTCTGAAATTGATCTTTTTTCAACCAGCCACGTACTCGTATGATAAAATGAATGTCACCATCGTGTTCTACGCCCAAAAGTACCCATAAAACATGTGTCATGCATGGGCTGCGAATAGGTACCAGTTTTAATTTTCGGGGTTATGTGCTTACCTGATTGACCTGACTTTGACCCTGGCCAGTGGCCTATGTTTGACTGACCCCTACATTGATCTGACACTCTTTTAGCACTTATATTAAGGGTTTTGACAGTTGTGACAGTTGTGACAGATTGTTTAGGACCAACTGTTGACTGAATTTATTTAGGACCAACTGATGACGATATAATCGAAACGCGAAACGCGAGGCACCGATTGCGAGGTTCTAAAGTCCATGCTACTGAAAGCCCGATTTCAAGTATTTGACCTGATCTTGACCCGACCTGTGACCTCGAAATTCAACTTTAAAGTATTCATGTGAATCGTCTCGTCGTGTTCTTCTTTCGTTTGCCGCGCCTCGTGCGTTTCGCTGCGCCTATTTGTTCGCGAGTTATCGGCTGGGGGCGTTGAACGCCCCCCCCCCCGGCAAACGGCGGATGGGGAAATACCCCAGCAACTGCCGGGTTAATCTGACGCATGTTTTGTCATTTGATCGTCATTTTATTTCTTACTTTTTTGCCCAATCTAAAAAAAAAAATCATGAATACTCTTTCTCCAAATTTTTGACCCTTTATGACCAATAGTAAGACACTGTGCGTCACTACGTTGATATTTCTCGCCAGAAAGCATAACAACAATATCCATTCAGTAAAAGCAGTATTCAAAACATGTTCAAAATGCCTCGCGATATCGATAACATAAGGAAAGACATAGGCGACTTATAACATGCTTGCAATGATGACGTCACACATGCGTGACGTGACGTGACCTCGTCATTTCTGAGTTACTGTATGATGCACGAAGGACACTGGTATACCTATGCAAAGTTTCATCGCAGTCGGTCTACGCATTAACAAGTTATGGGCAAAACATTTTTTCGCGTTGACCCCCGGCCATCCGTGAGGCCGTTTCCAACCATAGTGTGCACCCGTAGGGGGGGGGGGCGTTTCGGCCCCCTAAGATCTCGGAAATTTACCGGCCGATTTTCAAAAAATTCCAACAGCGTTCGATAGCCCCACCCGGGAACTACCTTGTGACCAAATTTCATTGACCTAGGTCAAACCGATGACGTCGCAGGTCAGGTCAAAGGTCGGATTTTCACCGTTCACAGGCATTTCAAGAAATGTGTTGTGAAATCGAGTAAATTGGTAAGTTATTGAAAACCATCGATGGCACATCGTTCGTCAAACGCATACTTCGCTATCTGAGGTCACTGATACCAGGTCAGGTCACAGAGGTCATGTCACTGGGGGGTCACAATATGAAAGTGTCGTGTGATACATCTTTTATGGTCCATTTTACATGACAAATGCGATAATGTGGGTCAGGCAGCCTTTGGGGCCAGGTTAGGTCACGTTTTGGTGAAGGTCAGGTCATAGTCCTCTCCGTGGCCGAGTGGGTAAAAGCGCCGGAATTCGACGCTTAGCCGGAAATGAGAGCCCGGTTCAAGCCCCGGTGCGGGCGGCCACATTTAGCTCCTACGTGTAATGGCGTGCGTGTCTGTGGCAGGGGCCGCACAGAAGCCAGGTAACGTGAGTGAGCGGAGGGGACCGTGTCCAGTCGTGAGGGCACGTTAAACGTTCGGACAAAATTCTGCCATACAACTGGAATTGCGCGATCGGGTAGTGGGGTCAGGGTCAGCACAACAAGCTATGCTTAGTGCGGGCTCTGATTCCTCAAATCCGCCCATTCAGCCATTCGGACTAAATTTATATATAAAAAAAATATTAGGTCAAATTTCAAAGTTGATATTTTTGCATAAAATGGGTATCGATTCGATGCAGCTCGTCACGAGGAGTCCAATAGTGGTCTTTGTTTTGCCCTACGTGGTCTAGAATTGCCAAAAATTGAGTTTGAAAATTTGACGTCATCATTTTTGAAGTTTTTTCTCTATAACTTGGCCAAAAAACGAGATATCGATCTGAAATTTGGTATGTAGATATAAAACGGTAGGTACAGTCCACAGCAGAAGTAATATGGGGTTTCAGTCATGGGTATGTTCTGCTTCTGAAGCTTAGGAACGATTAGCCAGACTACAATGAAACTTTGAATGTAGCTTATATGTTTCGTCACCCTTGCAGCTGCAACTTTAGCTATTGACATCTTCTTTTCGATCACTCCGCATTAAACAATCGCCAGTCAAAGCCAACCGTTGAGATTGGTGAAACCCTAATTACTTTAGCGGTGGGCTGTACTATCACATATATTCCGGTTTTTCGAAACTCAAAAAACTATTTGGATCTTTTGGCTAATATATCCAAAAAATGGAATTTTGTTATTTTTTGGGGTCAAAACTCAAGAATTTCAAAAATTCGAGATAGCAGTTTTGTCGCCCTGTCAATTCTACACCTTTTATTTCTGATCATTTTTCTGTATCTTCAAAGCTGTAGGCCTGACAGCTCTTCTCGCGAAGGTCTTTTTTCGGTCGAAAATTGCAGAACATGACGTCATTCTGACGTCATTTGTGGCCAACCTATCGTAGCCTCTGAAATTTTTTTGTCACAATGTGTAAAATTGATGCCCGGAGGGGTTCTGAAAGTTTGGTGGCGATATCTCCAGCCGTTTAGAAGATATCGACGGAAAAGGACAGGGGGCCGTTTCGGCCCCTCCCCTACGGGGCGCGGGTTAACTGGGAAGGGGGGACGCAATTGCCTCCCCAGTCCCCAGTGGCCAACATTCCCCTCCCGGCCCAATCAAAACGTGAACTTTTTACAAAGTATACATTTTATTTATTTATTATTACATTCTCTGCAATACGCTTTTGTGATGGTCGGTTTAGCCTCCAGCAGGGGCGCGGAAACTGCTTTCAGACGGGGGGGGGGGGGGGGGGGCACACCACGATAGAGATCAACCTAAAGTACCCCCAAATCTAGTTTTCTCACCGGTTTTAGGCCACTTATTTTTCATCCCTTGACTTTTGCAACAAAAAAAGAAAACATTTGCATAAAAAGTGCGGTATTCCGTCTCAAAGTTGTGGGGGCACCACTCCCACGGCCCCAGAGTTGTGGGGCAACCTGCTCCCACTGCCCTCCCCCCCCCCCCGGTTCCCGCGCCAATGGCGTTCAGAAGAAGAAAATTACAAAATAGTCGTTTTCACGAAAAATGTTTTTCCGCAATAGCTTTTGACTCAAAGGAGTTACGACCTTACCTTTGCCAGCATCGTGCTTCTGTCGTCGAGACGCGTCAAACACATTATAAGTTGACCTTGAAAGGTAATTTTGAAAATTTGACCTCAGGTCAAGGCCATTAGGCCATCAAGGACCTGACCGGGAAAGGTAATGCTGCATATCAGTATCCGGTCGAGCTGAACACATGAGGTGTTAACATCGCTCTGGCATGTCTCTATCAAAAGTTGTTGTCAAAAGACTCATGGGGACCTGTCATGACCTGAGATGACCTCAGGTACACAAAGAGGGGTCACGGGCGGATTTTCCGATTCGGTGCGTCATTTTTACCTGTAAACCTGTGTTTGAGTGCTTACAACGACTTTTTTAGAGTGTTTAGAACGACTTTGACTTTTCACTTTGAAGTTATTTTTCGGCTTGCTGAGCGTGTAAGGCAGAGGGCTATTGCACGGAAAAGCTAGTTTTGTGATTTTCGGAGCGCTAAGTAGCAAATTATCAATTGGCAGCTGGCCAGCCAGTGACCCAACTCATCTGGTCACCTGATTATGGGTGGCGAAGTAGTGATAAAGATAAAAACATCGTGTTTGACCCCCCCCCCCCCTCTCCCCGAAATCCCTTAGACGAGGCCCTGTACAGTCGTGTACATACAGGTTGATGGTCCGCCACTCTTTATCCACCGGGTTCCTATGGCTCAGCATTGACAGCAGCCGCCTGGTACCGGTAGGCTGTGCCGCATGACCCGAGAGTGAAGCGGCACAGCCTACCCACACTGTATGACACCGGCTCGGGTCGCCTGGTAGAGCGATTTGACCGGACGCTGCGTTACACCGGCTGGGGGGAGGGGGGGGGGGGTAAGGGTCAGGCCTGTCTATTTGGCTCGGCTCGGTGGATGAGGCGGGCTGGAGTGTGGTGTGGGGCGGGGGTGATGTGGGGAGGGAGTGAGCGGACCTGGGGCTGGGTGTGTGTGGTCACTTGTCGCATAGAACCGATCGTAATCCACCCTCCAAAAATTCGCTTTAGAGATATCACAAAACCCAGGGGGGTTCAAACACCCATCTCCCAAGTGGGGTGCGAAAGGACAGGTAAGGGTCCATACGGTCTCCTCATGAATTGCAGCAAAGAAAGAAAACAGACCTGTCACCAAATAATCTTTCTGAAAAGTGGACTAATCGCATAGCCTCGGACACAGAAATAAACATCCAGCACGCGAAGCGTCTCGAACCGGGCCCCTCACTGCCGGTCAGTTTGACAGTCCAGCACTCCTACGCTGAGCTACACCGGATGGTGACCTCGGCCGGGGCAAAGTCTGGCCGGGCGGGCGGCGGGGCCGGGAGGTCGGCAGCAAAGTCAATGAATGTTTTTGTGGTTTCGGGTGCCGGTCGCTCTAGCTTGGTGAAATGATGATGGATCATTGGCAAAATTTTCAACGTGGAGTCCCGGTTCGAGCCTCATCGGGGCTCCGGCTACTTTTCCGAGTTAGGATCTGGTTTGATTTTAGTGGTTGCGAGCCATTTATACGGTTTTATATCTACATGTCGATTGTCGATTGATTGATTCATTCATTCATTCGTTCATTTAATACATGTCGACATTTAGCATACGAATTGACATCCAGGATCAATCCGATCAATCTACCATTTTCATAAGCGTATTGCCTAAATATCATGCATAGGTATATGTGGCACAAGACCTATGGTTGCCTCGATACCGTGCCAAATCACGTTTTGCACAATGCACAAGTAAATTATATTCGCTGGGTCTTCCGTGCATTGTGCTTAGCAAAAACAGGAATGCAATTGTTAAGCGACGCAAAATGTGCAATGCAGCAAGTGACCACACACACCCGCCCAGCCCCCATGGTCCACCAACACGCCCCACACCACTCGCCAGCCCACGCCAACCACCGAGATGAGCCCCTCCCCCCGCGCTGGTCTGACGCGACAGCTGGTCTACAAAGCGCTCCACCCGGCGACCCGAGCCGATGTCAAACGGCGTGGGTAGACTGTGCAGCTGCACTCTCGGGTCATGCGGCACAGCCTACCGGTACCAGGCGGCTGCTGCCAATGCTGAGCCATAGGAACCCGGTAGATAAAGAGTAGGGGACCATCAACCTGTACACGACTGTACTGCGTCCGCAGCAATCAGCATTCGTCAACCGATGCCAATGCCTCACCACTCGGACAGTGTGTGGGCCGCCCGGGGAACGGGGAACTACCGATTTCCACCTACTGTTTATTAAGCGGCCTCCGCGGGGCGGGCCCCCCACTCCGAATCACGGCTGCATTGTCGCGCAGTCCCAGCCGTCCAGTCTTCAGGTTAGGTCGGCAGCAGGCAGTGACAGGTGCACAAGTCATCTTATTGTCTTGATGAGCTGAAGAGCTGAAGGAGAGTTTTCCGTCGACAGCCGGCACGACTGGCACAAATCGGCACCATGAGTCAGGTGAGAGAGGTCAGAGTGCCGTATGGAGTGGCGGAGAGTGCGGTGTCAGGGAGTGATTGTAAAACAAAATTAGTTAGGTGGGAGTTTTCAAATCACTCGCACCGCCGTCAGGTATTAGCTGAGTGGTAACGGGTGAGTGTCATGCTATATAGGTACCACAGGTCTTTGTAGCCAACGCAGGACGGTTACCTACCTAGGTAACTACTCATTGCTCAATGCTCAATGCTTTACTATGTTATTCAGATGGCGAACAGCGAACATAAAACAAGAAAAATCACAGAGGGGGTATTCTGCGTTTAGGGTAGCTCGTGCCATCTATACATACACTGGTTGGCAGCTACCCAATACGTATTTGGCATCCTCATATAACAGTAAACATATGCTAATAATCTGCTAATGTCGGGAGCTAATAATCTGCTAATAAATGCTAATGTCGGGAGCGACTTAGGTACAAGGTGCGTGCGGAAGGGGTTACATAGGTACGGCTCTCGCGGTAGGTTTTGCACTTTTACATTTCCGGTTATATCTCAGAAACTAATCGATCTACGATGAAGCCATTTTACACGATCATGGCCGGCTTGTTACCCAACAAGTCGATCGTATCTTCAACACTTAAAAGCTTAAGTCGACGAAGATATAGCCTGAAGTAGGTACACTAAATTTTCTAGGTGCAAAACCTACCGTTTAAAACCCGCGAGACCTGTACATGATCAATGAAATTGCCAAGTATTTTGAGCCTTTCCTTTAAAAATTTGTTTTCTTACTGCGCATAGGCGTAGGAACAGAACAGCCGAACAGGGGGGGGGGGCGGGGCCATGGCCCCCACTTCTCAGACATGTTTGAAAGTGAAGTCTTTATTTTTTATGTAAATACAAAAGTAAGAGCAGGAAATGGTTCAGCAAGGTGAGATGAGCACAAAACTGCGAATAATTTCTTCATAGGGTTATTGCGGCTCCCACAAAGTGACATTGAAGTTTCGCTGCCCCCTCCCCCCCCCCCCACACACACACACACTATCCGTGAGAGTCCTACGCCCATGCTACTGCGTCCTGAACGGCCAAGACATAAAGTAGGTAGGTATGCGTAACATAGGTATATCAGTCACGACAATATTAAGGTTAAGTGTTAATCTACACCTTTCCTTACCTTTCAGATACCTGTCAGTGCCAAGCAGATACTCAAAGAAAATGGTACTGGAGGCTTCACGCTCTGTTCGGAGACCCTGGAGAGCATCCTTGGGACAGAACACGCCGACAAACCCGTGATAGTGATATCAGTAACGGGTACAACCGACCCCGGCAAGACAATGATTTTTGACATGATGCTACGGCATCTCGATCCATCCACAAGGAGCACAGACGATCGTGGCGGCTCTACGAGAGGAATGGACGGCTGTCCATCACGCAACAGCGGCATCGAGTTGTGGCCGCACCTGTTTCCCGTGACGTTACCCACCGGGGAGGAGGCCGTCATCGCGCTCATGGACACCCAGGGCGCCGCTGATGACGCGCCGCGGTCGCAGGCGGTGCAGTTCCTCGCCACTCTTCTCAGCTCGCTGCAGATCTTCAACGTCGTGGACGACTTGAGTGACGATGTTTTGGAGCAGCTGAGGCAGTCCATAGAGTTTGGTCAGGCGCTGTCGAAGAGTACCGTCACCCCGGCCTTCCAGAAGCTCATGTTTCTTGTGCACCATTGGAAGGCGACAGACGAATTTCCACTCGGTGCTGCTGGGGGTGACCACCTTGTGACGAAATGGCTCCAGAACAAAAGGACAGATGAGCAGATCGAGATGGTGCGCCAGCATATCCGTGACTGCTTCAGTGACATTCAAGGATTCCTCCTGCCGCTTGACCCACTTCGTAACGGAGTCTCTCGTTCTCCTTCCAATTTGTTTGAAGAACTTTCGGGTATTCATTACATGGAATTAGTCTCTCGACTTTGCAACGAAGTCATGGCATTACACCCCAAATACCGGGAGCTGATCCAAGAGGCTCTGGCGCCAGAGAATCTAGCCATCAAGGTTGTCGCGGGTGAGCGCCTCACCGCTGGGGACCTGTGCAGGCTCATCACCAAATATGTGGAACTGTTCTCCAGCGAGGAGCCGCCGAAGCCGGAGGACGTGGTGTACGCGACGATCGCTTGTCTGCATCCCGCAGTACAGGCCGCCAAAGAACAATATGTAGAGGCGATGGCCAGTGTGTTTCGTGAGGGTCAGCCCGCGTTGAATGACGACGAGCTGATGAGACAACACAAGGAAGCCACAGCGAAGGCAGAGGCAACCTTCCACGCACAGAAAAAGACGGGAAACGACTCTCTGGTACAGAACGGCCTGAAGATACTGCTGAAAGACATTGAGAAGTGCTTTGATGATATTGATCATGAGAACACTGGCAAACGCAAGAAGGAGGAACAGGCAGCTGAAAAGAAGAACAATGAAGGGAGCCAGCAGTACATCATAGAGCTGGTAAAGACCTGTACGGAGATGTACATCAACGCGATGAAAGCTGTTGCCGACGTCGACGGCTTCGTCACTCGAGACAATTTAAGAAGGGCTCACGCCACCGCCAAGGAGAATGCGATGAATAAGTTCGACGTCAGGAGCAAAAAACATACAGTCGAGTGGGACAGTCGCTTTAAGTTGACATGTGTCATCGGTGCACGCTTTCGCCTGATTCAGCACCACAACGAGGTCATGAAAGACGCTAAGAATCGACAAGCCGTACGTGGCAACATGAAGGCCGTGGAAGTGGCTCTCAAAACCTACCGAACTGTGATGAGCTCGACGATCTCTGGGGAAGGCATGAACGACGACGGCCTTATGGGCCAGCATAACCGGTCACTCGGGGTAGCCGTCGAAATTGTCAAATCGCTTCATGAAGGGGATGAAGATACGGCTGAAAAATACGTGCAGGAACTCAAGACGCTCATCGGTGAGGAGTTTAAAATGATCAGATACAGTCACAAATCATAGAAACCCAAAGCAAGGAGGAGCCAACCGCTATGTGTGATAGAGTGAGTGTTTCACAATTTGCCACCACGAGCTGGTCGTGAACTAATTGTATGGTCGTGCGGTGGCAGGCAGTTTGAAGGCCGATTGGTGCGGCTGTGACAGTATTTGTACCGGCAGCAGCGCGGCGTCCGAGGAACGTGTCAGCGACGTCGGGCGTAGGCACAAATCAGGGCAGGAGAGATCGCAGGAGACGGACGATGGTGACGCCATGGGGGACGCACGGGGGCGATAGCGGGCAAAAGTGATCGTGGTGTGGTATGGCATGGCTGCGATGATAGTGGGAGTCAACCGGCGCGTGTGGCGCCGTCTTCAGCTTGAGCTGCTGCTATTACCTATATTTCACTCTTCAAATCCAAGAACAAGGATGGATGACAGGCTTTAATTTTATGGTTTGCTATAGGATGCAGTTGCAATGTGCGTTGTGTATTTTACATATAATTATTGCAATTACCATGGAGGACTGGAGGAGTTTGTGTTATCATACGGATCGAGATTGTAGTTCATATAGTTATACTGTGATAATGTGTGCTTAGATGCAATGTAAATAAAGTTAAGGCCAACAAAGTTGACCGAAGAGTACCTATACAGGGTGTCTCAAAAGCTCGTTGACAGGTACCAGCCATGCTTTTTTGCTTTCTTTTAGACACAAAATCCCGACAAAACCACACGATGGACAGGTTTTGGCCGTTTACAAAGCAGAACCTCTCCTGAGGAAAACACTCCGCAACCCAGCGAAGGTCTTGGCATGGGGAATGACGATTGACGAGCGTTTGGGATTTGCAAAATTTGCACAATGTGTCTAAGAAACAGATGGCCGACACATTCTTCTACGATATGCTGCGAAAAATTTTCCCCTGGCACTTCCCATTTGTTCAGGAATGGGGTTGTTTTGAAAAGGAAAATGGTGCTTGGGAGGTCGGCGCCAGTCATTCATGAAGGAGTTAGCGCCAGAGAAGACCTACAAAATACTCACGGATGGTGTCGATGCACGCTGTCGGCTTTCAGGGAGAAGCGGATGTTGCCGGGGAGCTCGTCAAACCTAATTCCGACGCAGAAACTGCAGGGGATTCCCTTACAAGAGCTTGAAAGCTGGTAACCTTTTATCAGCCTCCGGCAGCTGACGGAGCGACGAAAATTGGTATGGGCAAATGTTTGTGGAGATACAGCAAAGGGTTTGATTTCCAACCTCCCGAATCAGTTGTCAAAGCATGCATATTTGTCTAGTGTGCACACAGACACAAAAACCTTAGATTTTTGGCCGGTTCTTATATGCTTTATGGGCATGGGAAATGTGTATACGAACTTTTGAGACACCCTGTACTTCCCTACCAACGTATGGTGTGCTTACATTTACACCTCGCTCTCCCGTTGTCATGACTCGTTACTATCTGGTGCTGGTTTCTGATTCTAGTGCAGCCTTTGGGTTAGTCGTGAATCGTGACGTGATTCCCGGTGCGTCCTTTCTCCCCCCCCCCCTTGGGTCACCGATTGTTCAATTATGTACAGTGAACCTATTTTGCGCCGCCATTCAACTCTTTCTGGTATAGGCGCGGGAGCCGGGGGGCAGTGGGGCAGCTTGCCCCCCCCCCCCCCGCAACTCTGGGGCCGTGGGGGCGGTGCCCCCACAGCTTTGAGACGGAATACCACACTTTTTTTGAAAATGTTTTCTTTATTGTTGAAAAAGCCGAGGGGTGAAAAATAAGTGACATAAAACCGGTGAGAAAACTAGATTTGGGGGTACCCTAGGTTGATCTCTATTATGTTGTGCCCCCCCCCCCCCCCCCCCAGTCGGAAAGTAGTTCCCGCGCCCCTGCTTTCTGGACCGCCTCATTAAAGCCATGTTCTCAGATCCTGTCACTTAACCTTCTAGGTGGTGGGGGGCATTTTTTGCCCCCCCCCCTTAAGTTTTTTCAATATATATCTAGAACCGCTGCGCCGATCGTCACTTAACTTTCAGTACCCTCCCGTGAATAGCTATTGCACATTGTGACCAAAAAGTTTTCCAAAGGCTATGATAGGTTGGCCGCTAATGACGTCAGAGTGACGTCATTTTTGCCAGTTTCGACCCAAAAAAAAATGTTTCGCGGGAAGAGCTGTCAGGCCTACAGCTTTAGAGATACAGCTAAATGTTTCGACATAAGAGGTGTAGAATTAGGAGGGCTACAAAATTGCTATCTCGGATTTTTGAAATTTTTGGATTTTGACCCCAAAAATAAAAAATAGATTTTTTTTAATATAATAGCCGAAAAATTCAAAAAGTTTTTTATTTTCGAAAAAAACGGAATATATATGATAGTACCTACCACGTTCTATCTATATACCGAATTTGAGATCGATACCTCTTTTTTGGCCAAGTTATAGCGAAAAAAACTGTTCAAAATTGATGACGTCAAATTTTCTAACTCAATTTTTAGCAATTCTAGACCTCGTAGCGCAAAACAAAGACCAACATTAGACTCCCCGTGACGAGCTGCATTGAATCAATACCCATTTTATGCAAAAATATCAACTTTGAAATTTGACCTTTTTTGACCTGACCTTGACCTGATCTCCACCAGAAAGTGACCTTAATCGTACCTGATGGTCTTAAGTTATAACCAACACCATTCAGTTGGAAATGAAAAACTGGCCATAAAATATGCATCGCACAACCTTAGTAAAGTTAGGTTTATGTGGTGACCCTTGGTGACCTTTGGTGACCTGACCTGTGACCTGACCTGGTATGACCAGTGACCTCTAATAGCAACATATGTTCTAGACAACTGACGCCTTATCGCTGATTTTCGACAAAATGCGAATTACTCGGTGTTATAGCGCTTTCCCTGGAAGCCCTGTGAAGGTGAAACATTTTACCTTTGACCTGAACTGTGACGTCATCGGTGATCCCGAGGTCAATGAAATTTGGTTTCCCGAGACAAATTTGACAGGGCTATCGAACGCCGTTTAAATTTTCCGGATCCGTCCAGTAGTTTGGAGACACGGGGGGGGGGGGGAAATGCCCCCTCCCCCACCGCGCGGAAGGTGGCCGGGAGGCCCACCGCCTGCCGGGTTAATTTAACAGCTTCACTTTACAGAGCACATTGCGATCAACATGACACGGATCGATTTGTTCTATACGAATGTTTAGTTAGCTGTTTTGAAGTTGGTGATTTTGTGAGACTTCGATGACGTTGAAAGATCGTACAAAATATGCTCATCTCAAACACGGCATTTCTCAGCCGATCGAGATGAAACAGCACCAATCAATTAACCGTTTGCGGTAGGTCACCGTAAGTCAACTTAAAATCCTTTTCACAACTGCTTATTATCCAAAGGCGAACATCAATGAAATAGTGTGACATACCTACTGGGGCTGGGCCGGGGCCTCGTCTAATACGTGGGGGGGGAGGGGGGAGGGCGTTTCGGCCCCCCCCCCCTAAGATCTCGGAAATTCACCGGCCGATTTTCAAAAATTCAAACAGCGTTCGATAGCCCCACCCGGGAACTACCTTGCGACCAAATTTCATTGACCTAGGTCAAACCGATGACGTCGCAGGTCAGGTCAAATGTCGGATTTTCACCGTTCACAGGCATTTCAAGAAATGTGTTGAGAAATCGAGTAAATTGTTAAGTTATTGAAAACCATCGATGGCACATTGTTCGTCAAACACATACTTCGCTATCTGAGGTCACTGATACCAGGTCAGGTCACAGAGGTCAGGTCACTGGGGGGTCACAATATGAAAGTGTCGTGTGATACATGTTTTATGGTCCATTTTACATGATAAATGCGATAATGTGGGTTAGGCAGCCTTTGGGGCCAGCTTAGGTCACGTTTTGGTGAAGGTCAGGTCATATTAGGTCAAATTTCAAAGTTGATATTTTTGCATCAAATGGGTAGGTATCGATTCGATGCAGCTCGTCACGAGGAGTCAATAGTGGTCTTTGTTTTACCCTACGTGGTCTAGAATTGCCAAAAATTGAGTTTGAAAATTTGACGTCATCATTTTTGAGCAGTTTTTTTCGCTATAACTTGGCCAAAAAACGAGATATCCATCTGAAATTTGGTATGTGGATAGAAAATGGTAGGTACTATCACATATATTCCAGTTTTTTTCGAAACTCAAAAAACTTTTTGGATTTTTTGGCTTATATATAAAAAATTGCATTTTTTTATTTTTTGGGGTCAAAACTCAAAAATTTCAAAAATTCGAGATAGCAGTTTTGTAGCCCTGTCAATGTTACACCTTTTATTTCTGATCATTTTTCTGTATCTTCAAAGCTGTAGGCCTGACAGCTCTTCTCGCGAAGGTCTTTTTTCGGTCGAAAATTGCAGAACATGACGTCATTCTGACGTCATTTGTGGCCAACCTATCGTAGCCTCTGGATTTTTTTTTTGTCACAATGTGTAAAATTGATGCCCGGAGGGGTTCTGAAAGTTTGGTGGCGATATCTCCAGCCGTTTAGGAGATATCGACGGAAAAGGACAGGGGGGGCGTTTCGGCCCCTCCCCTACGGGGCGCGAGTTTAACTGGGAAGGGGGGACCCAATTGCCTCCCCAGTGGCCAACATTCCCCTCCCCCAATCAAAACGTGAACTTTTTACGAAGTATATATTTTATTTATTTATTATTACATTCTCTGCAATACTCTTTTGTGATGGTCGGTTTAGCCTCCAGCAGGGGCGCGGAAACTGCTTTCAGACGGGGGGGGGGGTGGGGGGGTACACCACGATAGAGATCAACCTAGGGTACCCCCAAATCTAGTTTTCTAACCGATTTTAGGTCACTTATTTTTCATCCCTCGACTTTTGCAACAAAAAAGAAAACATTTGCATAAAAAGTGCGGTATTCCGTCTCAAAGGTGTGGAGGCACCGCCCCCACGGCCCCAGAGTTGTGGGGGCAACCTGCCTCCACTGCCCTCCCCCGCGGTACCCGCGCCAATGGCGTTCAGAAAAAGAAAATTACAAAATAGTCGTTTTCACGAAAAATGTTTTTCTGCAATAGCTTTGACTCAAAGGAGTTGCGACCTTACCTTTGCCAGCATCGTGCTTCTGTCGTCGAGACGCGTCAAACAAATTATAAGTTGATCTTGAAAGGTCATTTTGAAAATTTGACCTCAGGTCAAGGCCATTAGGCCATCAAGGACCTGACCGGGAAAGGTAATGCTGCACATCAGTATCCGGTCGAGCTGAACACATGAGGTGTTAACATCGCTCTGGCATGTCTCTATCAAAAGTTGTTGTCAAAAGACTCATGGGGACCTGTCATGACCTGAGATGACCTCAGGTACACAAAGAGGGGTCACGGGCGGATTTTTCGATTCGGTGCGTCATTTTTACCTGTAAACCGGCGCGGTGTTTGAGTGCTTACAGCGACTTTCTTGAGTGTTTAGAACAACTTTGACTTTTCACTTTGAAGTTATTTTTTCGGCTTGCTGAGCGTGTAAGGCAGAGGGCTATTGC